CCTTTTGAAAAGATGGCACTTTCTGGGTTTCAGCTTCAACCCGGCATCCCGGAGGCGCTGGAAAACTGTCTCTAGTCTTGTCAACTCTTCATTTACAGTCTTAGCAAAAACAATCACATCATCGAGGTACACGAGTAGAACCTTCCAGTGTAACCCTGCAAGGACACGCTCCATAAGACGTTCAAACGTCGACGGCGCGTTACAGAGCCCAAACGGCATGACCCGCCAGGAGTAGAGGCCACCACGGACCACAAATGCCGACTTCTTCTGGGCATCCTCATCTAGCTCGACCTGCCAATATCCTGACGCTAGATCTAGAGTTGAGAACCATTCTGATCCACCCAGAGTGTCCAGTGTCTCATCAATGCGGGGTATCGGAAATGCATCTTTCACTGTCACGTTGTTGAGTCGCCTATAGTCTATGCAAAATCTCTTCGATCCGTCCTTTTTGCGTACCAACACAACGTTTGAAGCCCACGGGCTTTCTGTTGGCACTATGCTTCCAGATTGAAGCATGTCCTGTATCTGGGAGTCAATCTCTTGCTGTTCCTTTGGTGGGAATCTTCGTGGCCTCTCCTTTATCGTTGACGCATTCCCTGTGTTGATGCCATGGCGAACAAGGTTGGTCCGTCCAATATCTGTGTCAGATTTCGCAAATACGTCTTGGTTCTTGCGTAGAAGTTCGGCAATGTTATCGTGAAAGCTGTTGGGTACCTCTGTCTTGCTCCGCTTGAACAAATCAACCAAATGTGGAGGGACGTCACCTGTATCTTCATCGTTGGATGTGTGCATTGTCATGTCTACAACATCAGTCTTTTTCACCGGGGTAAAGTGACCTGCCATTGTGCCTCGCTTGATAGTGCATTCCCTGTCTCCGGGGTTGTACACTCGAATAGGTACTGTGTTGTCTGTAGATTCTGCCAAGATTCTTGCAACCATCACCCCTTTTCTTCCTACTTCGTTTTCCTCTGTAGGTTCTAGGATCCCGAGACCGGCTTCACCAGGATTCCCCTTAATCAATCCTGGGACCAATGCTTCATGACCCGGTGGAATCTTGGTAGTCTCCTCTACCACCACCCTGAAGCATAATCCATGCCCCAGCTTATCACTGCATTTGATTTTGTCTCCATTCAAGTCCAGTTGCAGTTGTTGTAAGTCGATCTTCGCATGTGTTGCTATCAGAAAATCCATTCCAAGGATCCCTTCTGCTGAGCCAGTATTGCCAAATATGACACGAATTGAACAAACCGTCCTGCCAACCTTTAATTCTAGACAGGAGCTGCCCATTGTCTCCATTCTGCTTCCATCAGCATTAGAAACGTTTGCTCCATACCTTGTCAATTCTGGCTTTTTCTCGTTGGGAATTCGGTAGTATACTGTGTTAGAAAGAATTGTATCTGTTGCTCCCGTGTCTACCAAAAGCATGGTCTTGACTCCCCTAATCTCAACTTCAACGTAGAGTCCACTCTGGACACATGCCCTAGACACATTATGTCTTTCCTGATCAGTTCTGCCCCTTTGGTTGTTCTCTACTGTTCGTCCTTTCCGGTTTTGCCCTTGTTTTCTTGTGGCCTTCCCTCGGGCTGCAGAGTCGGCTCGTGCTCGTTTCCCGACGGATCTTGTCCTTTTTTCTGAGGACAATTCCGAGCCAAATGCCCCTTTTCGCCGCAATTGTAGCAGTTCCGAACTTCTCCACGTGATTGGTTCTTCCACGTTTCTACCTTGTTGTCTCGTTCTTCAAGTTTGAGCTTCATCTCTTTTAACTCTTTCCATATTTCTGTGAGAGGTGATTGCTGTTCCTCCGTCGATCTGGCTAGTTTGCGGTGGAACCTGCTTCTCCCACTTCGTTGGTCTTCAAGGCGGAAAAAGTTGTCCGTGGTCATAGCAGCTTGTATTGCCTCATCCATTGTGGTTGGCTGTGATCTGAAAATGCCCTCACGGATTTCCTGCTCCTCTATTGCTTCTGCAAAGTGTGTACGCGCCAAACGATCACGCGCCTCTTCTGGTAGTTCTGGGTATGCTAATTCAGACAATTCTCGAACAGCCTGACCCAACTCCTGAAGAGTCTCCTGAGGTCCTTGCCGCCTTGAACGTAATTCAAGGAGGTAGTTTTCAGCCATCTGCCCTGGGCCGAACCTTTTCTCGAGCAAATGAACGAGCTCCTGGTACGTTATCCTCGAGAGTTGCCTCTGGCTCCCCATGACTTTGATCGCTGCTCCCCTAAGGCTAGCGGCAAGGAAAATCTTGGCCTCCTCGTCGTTCCAACCATTCGCCAACTTGCATGCCCTAAAATGCTGGATGTAGTCGATCCATGGATTCTTCCCATCGAACTTGTCTGGCACAATGCTGGGTCGGGAAATGCGCGACATTCCTGTTTTTTCTTCATCAGAAAACCCAGGACTCAATTCCTGTCTTGTCATCCTTGGTTCCTGTGACATGCCTCCTTCTCTCGCATGCTCCCTATCCCACTCTTTTTCCTCTTGGTCGGCCCTTGTAGTTGATCCTCTGAGGTTGTACTCACTTGTTTCACTGTGCAAGTGTTGCCTTGATGTTAATGTGCCTTGTGGTTGTACCTCTCTGTACAGCCTGCTGGGAAACTCAGCCTTATCCATTTCTCCCGTCTTCTCAACTGTTGTGGCAGGCAGTTCATAACTCATTGGAGATCGTACTTCGAACTTGTTGGGATTTCCCCAGTCACGAAGCTGCACTTCTTCATCCCTCCGTCCGTGTGCTGCAGTAGCTGAATCCAGTTTCAACTGAAGGAGGCGATTTTGCTCCATCAACAGCCTGTTCTGTCCTTTGGAGTGTTCGAGGTACTCGTTACTCTCTTGCAGTTCAGCCACCAGGTTTTCTAGCTCCTCCACCGAATGCAGGCTAGTTGCCATACTGCCACACGGTGATCCAACAACTTCAAACTGTGTGCTGTGTAGCTGGGCAAGTGTGCTGTGTGTAGGCGCTATTTAGGTGATAACACGAAGAGCATTATAGGCGCTATACATAGGATGTGGAGAATAGGCACTTATATATGTAGGTGAACTAGTAGGTTCAGGTAAACTATAGTAAGTGTAGGCGTAGGTGAACTATAGTAGGTGTAGGTGTAGGTGAACTAGTAGGTTCAGGTAAACTATAGTAAGTGTAGGCGTAGGTGAACTATAGTAGGCGTAGGTGAACTATAGTAGGTGTAGGCGTAGGTGAACTAGTAGGTGAAGGCGTAGGTGAACTATAGTAGGTGTAGGTGAACTATAGTAGGTGTAGGTGAACTATAGTAGGTGAAGGCGTAGGTGTAGGCGAACTAGCATTCCCGATAATCACTTGATGTTGCTTAATTCCTGCTTCAGCATGTTTATCCCACCGCGGCCACCAATGTAACGGGTTTTGTCCGGGGTCCCTGCACCATTTACCGAGCGGTCAATAAATCTCACGAGACTCCAATCACCCGCACGGTTCTTTCATAAACAGTGAAGCTATCACTCCAACATCATCGATCGCACTCAGATCACGCTACTTTTCTATAATACACGGAAACACAGTGTCATTTTACATCAAAAGGTACTTGCCTTTATTCACGAAGAACTCCAACTTTACAATGTAACTTCCCTTCAACAGCTAGTAGCAGTACTCCGATTCACCCTGTTTCACCTATCTTATCCTGCCCTCCCTAGCTACCTGCCCGAACACGTCCTCTCTTGCTCATGCCTAATACCTAACTGCCCACCCGCATGCACTGACCCACATGCGCCCGCTACGTTGAAACAACTCCGTTACACTATGTTAAGAAACAAAAAGAAACTTATTGGTATGTATTTCTTAACTAAGTAATCAAAATAGAGAAGTGAAGAGAAAGGGGAGAAAGGCCACATTGAGTTTAGACATAATATGTCTATAAAGATGACCATTAACTCTTTTCCTCATCTTCTACTAGAAATACTGGGTTTAGACTTGGTCTACACTAAATTAAGATTAACAATGAAAATGAATACCAACTTTTTAATAGGTCTAAGTCTCCCCTTGGTAAAATGCAAAATGTGACATAGACTTGCTTCTCATTAAAGTTCTACTAAAGCATAAGGGTTACACAAATAATTCACCCAAATATGGCAACAATAATTATAAATGTGATCATGCACTGGTCACAAAACCACCAACAGTTGCATGGTGTGATTTTTAGTAAGAGCTCAAGCGGCAGTTGGTCAGGATGGCAAAATTTTACTTTTTAGTATTTCCTGAAAGAGTATACTTTCCAATATAGATCTATTTTCAACATTTCGAAGCACAAAAATAACCTGAAAGTAGTATTTTGGAGAGTTTTTGTACACCTATGAGACAGATTGTCTGATCTTAATTTTTTAAATAGTTATTTTCATTTCTTGATGGCCCTGGCTAGTGGCTCTCTTTTTATCTCCTATCTAGAGTAAGATGTTGCATTGATACTTGGTCTCAATAAGGAGCAGGATATTCATATATTAGTGTGCAAAGATTGTGGACAATTTGAGAATTCCTTTACGTAACTTTCTAAAGGTTTTTTTAATTTTTAATCCACCCTTTTTATTTTACACTTTGCAGGACTCCTTGTGAAACAGAGTGTATTCGAGTACAGACTTAATGCCCTTTTCTCTCAAGTAACATTATAAACTTGATGGCCCGAATTCACAAAGCAAGGTTTGAGCTCAGACCAAGGTTTGAGCTCAAACCTCCTTTTGTTTCGCCTAACCTCCTTTTGTTCTTTACAAACCAGGTTTGTAAAAAACGCGTAAAACACGTCATATGACGTACGAAAACCAAGGTTTGTCGACAAACCTCCTTTGTGAATTCGGGCCTCAAGGACTAGATTTTGTTTCTTCACATTTCTAATTAGGCTAGGAACAACCAACTATAATGAGTTATATATCATTTTAAAGCTGAGAATCGCCTCTTTAGAATCAGACCGTAACAAGAAAATGTTAGTAGTTTTGTGTTGCCTTGTCACAAACTATTGCAGTCATTCCAGTTCATTAACTCACCTTAAGAAGCTTCTGTGGTTGTGTAGCACTGTTCTGGTCAAATTCTTCAGCAGCATCAGGACTGGTAGCTAGCAAATGAATTAAACACAATTGACTATTAGTTTCACTTTTATAGGTTCTTTCCTTTCTCCCCTTTTTTAAAAAGACATTTGCTATCATGATCTGATCAAGCTAAAAAATGAATGCAATTCCAAATACCGGTAGTTAACTTGCATTATACACTACCTGCTTATCAAAACAGATATTCAACACAAAATGCCAATATATTACCTAAAAACCTACAGGCAGACATACACTGTACATGTACAGCACACTGGTTTGGCAGATGTGATGGTGCCAGGTAAAAATGTCAGAGGAAAAAATGTCAGAGGTAAAAATGTCAGAGGTAAAAATGTCAGAGGTAAAAATGTCAGAGGTAAAAATGTCAGAGGTAAAAATGTCAGAGGTAAAAATGTCAGGGGTAAAAATGTCAGAGGAAAAAATGTCAGAGGTAAAAATGTCAGAGGTAAAAATGTCAGAGGTAAAAATGTCAGAGGTAAAAATGTCATATGTAAAAATGTCATAGGTAAAAATGTCAGAGGAAAAAATGTCAGAGGTAAAAATGTCAGAGGTAAAAATGTCAGAGGTAAAAATGTCAGAGGTAAAAATGTCAGAGGTAAAAATGTCAGGGGTAAAAATGTCAGGGGTAAAAATGTCAGAGGAAAAAATGTCAGAGGTAAAAATGTCAGAGGTAAAAATGTCAGAGGAAAAAATGTTAAAGGTAAAAATGTCAGAGATATAAAGAAAATGTCAGGTACAAAAAAAAATGTAGGGAGGAAAAATTGGTGCCATCATTATATCTCGGCACTTTATCACACAAAATGTCAAGATGTAAGCTATTGGGCTTGTCTCTTATATTTTATAAATGACTGTGTATTGTACTTCGTGCATGTCCTGAGGATAATACAATGTGGAAAATAAATTTGAAACTTATATTTTGTGATCAGGTTTGCATATATTAATTTCTATCATTTTCGAGATTTTATATTGGTTGATGTTTTAATGTTTATTTGGTTTTGAGGAAGTAGGCCATAAAATATAAATAGAATATTAAGATTGAATGAGATACAACAGGGAATCAGTTATAAAGATCGCACAGAAATTCCACAAATTCAGTAATTAGACCCATCTTCATGTCCATCCCAGCAAAGACTGTTATGACAAGAAAACGTTAATAAAAAGACACGGATGCTTTGTCCCCCTCATCAATACTTTATTACAAAAGTTTAACAATGTTAAATATTGTCAGATAGTAGGCCTACAAGTAATAAACGTTGAGACATATCTACCCAGGTATTTTATCATGTGCTTTCGAGTTTCGACCATAACACTGCAACTTTATATTTAAAAATTACGATTAAGAAACGTGGGAGAAATACAGTATAAGTACCTCAACTTCAACCGTTTTTGTTCTGCAAAATTCATGATGCATTTTGTTTAATGTGTAGACTTGTACGAATATGTACCTGCTGGAAACTGTCGTATACAGTGTATGCCAGCACACCTTGTATAAATCCTGCACCAAATATCCTTCAAACAATATTACCATGTATACAAGCAGTATCATGATCAGGGGCGTCAATCCTGGGGGGGGGGGGGGGGACGGGGGGACACGTCCCCCCTCCCCACGAATGTTCAGGTGGTGAAATGTACCCCCCATGTTTTGTCAGAAAAGAAGTTCTTTAATAATTTAATGTAACGTCAAAGCTTCCGCGCGGGAGGGTGGGGGGGGGGGGGGAAACTGAATTCAAACAAGGATTAAGAGTCGAGAACGGTATACAACGAATCGTCTTCTTTCTCTCAAAATGTATTGAAACGTCAAAGATAAAAAAAAAAAGGCAATGAATGAACCGGTCACCAATGAAATTACATGCCGTGAAACAGAATAACTAGAGAAAGAGTGTGTGTGTAGCAACATAACGTGGTATAATTTTGAAAGTAACTGTAAAGGTGACATGTAATTGTGTCCCCCCCCCCCATGCTCTAACTCGGATTGACGCCCTTGATCATGATGCTATAAATGTGTACAGTAAAACTATGTTTCTGATATGTTACTCATTAATAAATATTTGTCAATTTCAGTGTTTGATCTCTTACATCAAATAATTATAGAACGATGTAGCTTAAACAGAACCTCTGCAGAGCGCGCGCCTATCTGGAATATGATGGTGCGGTTAGCATTTGATGTAACATTGGCGGCTTTCTGCTTTGTATCAGAGTATCAAGCTGCTTATTGATGTTCTCCCAGACTATTTATACCGCAATAGTGATCGACGATCAACTCTTTGCAAAGCGCGCGCTTCTCTGGAATGTGATGGTGCGGTTAGCATTTGATACATGGGCGGCTTTCTGCTTTGTATCAAGGTATCAAAGTATCAAGCACACAAAAAAGTGAAAATGTTGGAAATATTCAATTTTGTAGGAAATTACATTTTATAGTAGTCATTGCCACATTTTAAAATGTCCATCAATCTTCAGAAGGGACGGTGAAGTGGGGGCGGGGGGGCGGAGGACTCACGGCGTGATATGTTATCTTCTTCTTTCTTTCTTTTTTTTTGGGGGGGGGGGGCTGTGATGACTTTTCTTTTTATTTAGTGATTTTTCCCAGAAGTTTGCTCAGTGTACCAGTATCATTTGCTTAGACAAAGGCATATGAGGGGGAGGCAGCCGGGTCATTACGAAGGATGCACCCCCTCCCCCGTCTCCGCTCGGCAATATTTGGGCAAAAGGTCCCAATTCCGGGCAGTAAGGTAAATAAAAGTTACAGAAAGAAGAAATTAAAGCAGCGCTGAAATTAATGAAATTTTTACCTCTGACATTTTTACCTCTGACATTTTTACCTCTGACATTTTTACCTTTGACATTTTTACCTCTGACATTTTTTCCTCTGACATTTTTTCCTCTGACATTTTTACCTCTGACATTTTTACCTCTGACATTTTTACCTCTGACATTTTTACCTCTGACATTTTTACCTCTGACATTTTTACCTCTGACATTTTTTCCTCTGACATTTTTTCCTCTGACATTTTTACCTCTGACATTTTTACCTCTGACATTTTTACCTCTGACATTTTTACCTCTGACATTTTTTCCTCTGACATTTTTACCTCTGACATTTTTACACCGAGCCGATGTGATAGAATCTAGAATAAATTCTCAAGTGACTTTCTGACGTCTGTATTATCCTACAAAATCTTCACTTCTGTTCTGTTTACATGATCTCTTCGTAAACCATTTGTCATTCAATACAGGCCCTGATCTATTCACCTTACAGGTACAACTAAGATTAAACAGCATAGAGTGAAATGTCTACACAAAAGCTGAAGATCTTTCGTGTAAACAATTTACTACTACATTGTACTCATGAAGTGGAGGTTACTTAATGGTAAAATCCAACTTAAATCAAATGACCATGGGGGAGACCAGATTGTCTTATGTTTGGACAATTCAGTGAATTCTATAACTATGCATGAGAGTGTTTAGAATGTTGTCCTTCATTGACATCATTTTGGCTCCAGCCCAGAGTGCATACATGAGCTGTGTACAGACTGAACTTTAATGTGCCCCTTTCCCTCCCCCTCCCCCTTCAAACATGGAAATCTGGAAATCTTGACCATTTATATCAACCCTAATTATTCAAATGCACTGGTTGTTTGGAAACTTCTGAAATTTCCTTGTGACAATTTCTACCTTTGTCTTTTCATTCTGTTAAGAAGCTAAAAACAAGCTCTTTTTAAAAAGCTTCACAGAGCTACTGCGTGTACATTTACTGTAAAATGCAAAATGCTTGCTGCTCTCAGTTTTTGTCAGTGTTTACACGTGCCCCTGGACAGAATACAGCACCAAACTATAATTCTGAAGCTTATTGACAATTGATAGGTCTTTGACGCAAAAATGGCCAATTTCTACATCTTGGGCTCCACATTACCCTTTTCTGTCAATCTAGAAGTTTAGAACCCAAACATGTTGCTATGGACATATGAGCCAGGCGAGTTGAGGCAATTTAAGTTAAACCTTCTACTCATTTTCACTTATGAGTTTAAAAAGTCACAGCAATTACACTGCCTTTAAAAAGTTCTAGTCAAAGGGTGTACATGTACACACGGTACCTGGGAAACATCCTTCACTGTAAAGTCTGTTTCTATAGTAATTGACTCCCAGGCACAATAGAAATTTGCTCTTGGTGTAAAGCTGGGGGTTCCTTTGAACTTTAACCGCACAGTGGCGGCAGAACAAAAGACACACTAAAGAATGACGTCAGATAGTTGATCAAGTTCTCTACAGTGTACATACACGTATACTGGGAGTGGATGATCTCTAGACTCTTATTATTGTACGCACATATAAACAATTTACATCTACTTTTATAGACAGGTCTATTAAAAGTTCAGTACATGAAATTCCCTGATCTGTTATTTGTTTTTATAAGCTTACAGTGTACCTTTGTCATTTAAATTTACTGGATAACTTATTTGACTTCACTTGATGATCACAGCTATAGATTAAGAACCGACTAATTCTTTAAGACTTTCTATTGCTGCCCCATCCCTGCCCCCATCCCCTCCCCTACATGTAGCATTATCTCAATCTTGACCTTTCAGTAAAAGAGGGCAGCAGACAGATTTCAGGGTAGCTTGGCACCATTTCAGGGCTTACCCCTATAAGTACTGTAGTTCTCATGCCAACTAAAGTACCATAGAGTCATCATGATTTCAAAACATGGCCTACGGTATCTAAATTTAACCAGATTTCCTTTTCCCCCTCTCCTATACAGTGTATCTCCTAATCAACATTTAACATGCACAGAAGTTAATGCATGTAAAATGCATGGAAATGCACAAGTATACACCAATATAAATGTCATCTCAATAATTAACAATCTAAACAAAAATTATACAATTGATCTACATGTAGGACAATGGTCAAATCAACAGGTCTTCCTGTGTATCACTGTTTGTGACATCATCAACTTGTAACTACTGAATTCATTTTCTAAATTTGACTTTTATTCCCCATCAAAATCAAATTAAAACAAATATATATTTGATGAAAATGGTTGCTTTTGAGAACAAATTTTTACAAAAATTAACAGTAACAAATTTATTGTTTGCAAAATATAATTTCTTACTTTTCAATGTATCCTCATTTTCAGGTCTTGGTGTTTCTTCCTCCTGCTCTGTCTGTGGCAATGACTCTTGGCTCTCAGACTCCTTTGGTGTTGGTGTGGAGTTATGCTCTTCCCGGATCCCAAGTCCTTCTTCCGAGCTGGACCTGGGGCGCTCATCGGTGCTCGAGGACGGCGTCATCTTGTCATCCTGATCTTCAGATTCTACATCAGCCGAATATGAGGGAGAGACGCGGTGGCTTAGAGCCATGGAGGCCTGCTCGACAATGTTTCCAACATCTTGGCTCTGTGCACCGGCATGCATGGGATCCGGCATGTCGTTGAAGCGTCCTTCCGAGATGATACTGAAGTCACTGTCGGTAGGACTCCGCTTCCCGTTAGATGATGAAGAATAGTGCTTGGGTGATGTATTCTCTGGTGACTCTCTGGTGTCGTAAAGATAGACGGATGACTGCTCGCTAGCTGTATGTTCATTTATCACTACAAAGTCACTATCACTCCTAATGGACGTCTGCTCGTCTGTGTTCTCCGATTCTGATTTGGTGTCCAGGTCGCTACTTTTCCGGCGACTTGGAATGCGATGTTCTCCTTCCTTTTCATCTGCTTCAACTGTCCCAGTACTTGTAGAATTACTACTCTCAAGGCTTTGTCCTAGAGGCTGATCCACCAAGGTGTCATTCTCTTCCTCAAATTCTCGAACATCTGATGATTTCACCAACAAGAAGCTTTCGGTCGACTTCACATTTTCAGGATTTATTGCACTATCTTCCGACTTTGTCTCTTGGAGACTTGTGTCCTGTTTAGCGTCATCCTGGGTACTACCTAGGACATCTTCTGCAAGTGCAGTACCCTGTGGCAAGACTGGCTCTGGCAGCCCTACATCAACATGCAGGGGTTGTAAAACAGCTTCACTTTTGACCTCTTTGTTGTCTGCCTTTCTTGATCCTAAATGGGATTTCTTGCCAGACTTACTGGTTCTTCTCTCTTTATCTATTTCGTCTGAATCATCACTGTCTTGCAACAAAATCTTGCTCTTAGTCTTTGAGTTCTTTCCTGACATGGAAGATAACCTTGTAGGTTTGTCAGTGGGACTTCCCTTGGCGACATCTTCCGATTTAGCTGGGGTTTGAAGTTTCTTGCCTAGAGATTTCTTTGGCTTGCTTGGTGGTTCATTCCCTGTGAGAAAGGCACTGAAAAATGTGTCATCTTGGGGTGAAACTTGGCTCTTTGCTCGTGATGAGTAAGCCTCGGATCCTGCAATTTTTGTAAAGATACAGAAAGATATAGTGAATAAGCGTATAAAAAGACAAATATGAAAATAAATTTCATCTTCATGTATTCATAAATAGCGATTAGTGCAAAAGCAGGGAGTTGGCTAAATTAAACAGTGCTTGCCCCTTGTAAAGTAAGTACCAAATTGGCAATAAGAAAACAGTGTATTTTGTATACACCCTGTGTATTTGCACTTCAGGAAGACACAACATCATGAACTCTCGTAAAGAGGTCAGTGTTTTTTAAATGTTTATCGCACATTAGCTCATTATCATCAGAAACAAGTGGAAGGTAAAGCTAAACTACTATCACTCCAGTATCAAAATCTCATACTTTTGGAAATTTGGTTAAATTCTTAATCTTAACAGATTTCAAAGTGCTTTGTATGAGAAAGAGAAAAGTCCCCTAGCGAACTCTGAAGCTAGTTTGCAATGTTTGTTGGGTGCAGGAATAGGTTACTACAAACGCATTTTTGGTTTTGTTTACATCCCTCTTCACGCAGGACTTTGGGTGCCAATTAAGGCTAGGTGATATCGATATCATATTAGTCATACTATCACCTACGGGACTCGGTAATGCGGTGGTCACATCCCGCCGTACTTGCAAGTGCGTGCTGTCTACCGGCAAAAACGTGCGTAAAATTCTATGTGCCTACTGTGCAATATTCAATCATATTTGTCATTATCAATCAAGACTCAAGTCAAGACAAGACACATAGAACTTTAGCTTACATTTAGGGCATGCACATAACGTTCATCCAATCTCGGCGAATTGCAGCCTCATTTTCCTAAATTGGCGCCAACAAGGGCCCCTTCTTAGTTATTGGCTATCACTGGCTTCCATTAGCTCCATGTTATATGTTATGGTGCGAGGTGAAAGCTTGCGATTTTCTGTTTGATCTGATACCAAAATCATTATATTTCAGTCAAACCCTCTATTTATTACAATTTTTTCAGCATCCTTAAAAGGTTAATTATTTCACTTAAGTTTAAGTCTTACGTAACTTTGTTTTAGTTTGAAAAATTCTCATTTTCGTCATATTTAAGGTACAAAACTTGCTAGATGTACTGATATATTTGTCAATTTTTTATTTTGTGCGTGAACCTATGCTGAGCTCAGTGTGTAGTGCGTCACCTGTTTAAAGTATGACATGTCAGTGTGTTATGTAATATTATGAATTGACATTGCCATTGACTTTAAGTTGCGCTTAAGTTAGTAGGTCCTCTCTCATTTAAATTTGAAGCCACTCGAGCAGACCGGCCAATGGGAGCATGTAAACTCAGTATACAGTGCTCAACGCGCAAAGTTCTATGTGCAAGAGCTCTACATGTACATAGACTTTGTAGACTCTAGGTGGGCATGTAACAATGCGTGCACTTTCGCCATGAAGATTTCTGCCATGGGGCTGTAGTGTTATGCACTATTGGAGACCATTTGGATAACCTACGCAAATGAGGGCTTTTGAATGGCTGATAAGATTTTTGTTTCATGATTTCTATTGGATGAGAAGAATGACATTATGATCTTTCATTTCACTTTCTATGATTTATGTTTAAACAGTTTAAGCCATTTTGTTTTGCAGCGCTGTTTCACAAGAGCCCTGTTTAGTGCCATTCTGTACCCTGATCCTGCAATGAAATTGAGAAAAAAAGTATTTAAATTGATCATTTAACATGTGAATCTGCTTTTGGTGAAATTTCAGCGAAATCTATGGAGTATGGAAGAAAAATATGTTTTTTTGAATGAGAAGCGTGATATGTCATGCAAAAATGACGGCCCGATTAGCGGTTTTCGCGTAATTACAGTAAACTAAGAATGACAGTCACTAACTTAACACACGCGCCCGCTTGCACCCCACCATCCGGACGGTATGTAGGCCTAATTGTATTGTGCTTCAGTTTGCTGTGAAGGAAATATTCATTAAACGTGTGAAGTTATCTACCGTAATGAGGATCTGAGACATTACGCCGTACGGTAGATAACTTCACACAGGCATGCACGGGCACCTGTTAAGGGTCAAATTTTGGAAAGGTTTCTGAACAAGCGCAAAATAATTAGCATAAGTACCTTCTTGCCCTGAAGGGCCGTCTTCCTCAGAGTTAGACTGGAGCTTTCCAGACAGACTACCAGCTGAGGCACTGCCTGGATTCGACAACGACGACGCTCGCCCAGTGCCGCCGGAGCTCTGGGCAGCCTGGCTCCCGCTGCCGGTGTCACTGCCTTCCTCATCCTGAATATCGAGAACTTTGTCGATCGACTTTTGGGCGGACGACAAGGCTGTTTTTGCAAATGAAGACAGACTGGCTTGATTAAACCAGCTCATTTTTCATTTTCCAAGCTTCCTTTTTCATAAAATGGAGTCATTCGGTCTGTTTTTTTCTATGACTTTCGTGTCTTTTTCGAGACATTACACGTAAACATAGAGCTGTGAAGGAATAATCGAATATTTGGAGGGTAAGGATATTTCGAAGATAGAAATAATTGAAAATAGTATTGAATTAAAATCAGCAAAATGCATTTGGTATAGAGACAAATAAGAATTTTCATTATTTGAGAAGGTGAATTTTTATTATCTTTAAAGAGAAAATATCTGAAATATATTCAAAATATATTATCCCACACTATTGTCCCTCGATCATACAGTGAAATTATTTCCCTTGATTTAATGGATTCTCCTTTGAAAATCGGTTTTCTGCCAAAGAAGTAAAAATAAGAGAATTTAAACTAAGATTTGCTTTTTAAATGATTAACAAAATTACTTGATTTAAAAACTAATATTTAATAATATTATTTTTATTTGGTTTTAAAGCACTTTGCTGTATTTTTGGAAATAGTATTTTCTATATATATTTAAAGCTCGTTGCATAATTTAAAGGTATATGGAGAAAACTGTTGCCAATCTGAAATAAATTTGAGAGCTCTTTAATCCTTGGGAACTTGTGGTCCAATCTATATTTCTTATCTTCTGTTCTAAAAAATGAAAAATCACTTTTTAAAAAACTGTTATAGCGTCATTGAGTAATGTAAAATAATATTGCATTCGAAACGATGAATTTTATATCTAGAAATGACCCGTGTTCGGGCTTTGTACCATCTCTGCGAACATTGCGCTATTTACACTTCTCCCGCCAACCGTCCCCAGTGGCGCAATAGGTTAGCGCGCTGTACTTATAGACAGTACCCAGCGTCGTCTGGCTACACTGTAGACATGCGGAGGTTGTGAGTTCAAGCCTCACCTGGGGAAATCGGTCCTTTTTGCTGATAATTTTGTTTTTGTTGTATAATGACCCACTGACCATATTTGGGTATATTCACGATCAACATTACTTCTTATGTGATATAGCAGTGTGAGATGGGCCAAATGCACTGTCCATCTTGAACCCCTCCCATCAGCCCTTACAAAAAAATACCAACTTTTTCAGATTTTACTCATGACAACTAAAAAGCTTGTCCCAGGATTGACTGACACATCAATGAATATATGTATGCATGCAACCTGTCTCATGGAATTCATTAGCTTTTCGTTTTCAGTTCTTCCCCATTTTAGGACAATTCCGTAATATAGGTAGGGCTTGATTTTCTGATTGTGAAGAATTAATAATATATGATTCATTATTCAAATGTATGAATTTGATCACTTAATTTGGTTTGAATTCACATTTGAGGATTTGTAATTTCTTTTTCAATTAAGACTCATTTTTATTTCCTTCCATATTTGGTTTGCACTGTAGTACAGTGTAGCCTATGTCCACATTCATTATATTTCAATATGTTACCAAGTTGTGGATTTTTAAGAAATAATACAGGTGCATATACCAACTTGGACAACAAAATTTGTTTGTTTGTTTTTTATTGTTATTTTTCTTCAGGATGAAGTGATTTTTTTTTAATACAATAAAAATCACCCATTTTGGAAGTTGATCAGTCAAGAACTTATCATAACCTTGAACATGAATAGGCCTACTGTTCAGCAGCATGTACTGAAAAACGTATCAGGGAAAGAAAAAAAAAGAGAGTACCAAGGAGAAATTGTGAATCTTCTGTTGGTGATGAATATTGGAGAGGAATTACAGTGAAAACCTGCATATAAAGACCACTTGAGGGAGACAACAGCAGTCTTTATATGCAGGTGGTCTTTATGAACAAGTACCGTATGTTTAATCAGTGTTTCAATGAGAAAGCAGGAAATGTGGTCGCTCTATCCAGATGATCAGAAATTTGCCTGATCAGGTACTTAATGTGGATTAAAGTTTTGAATAAGAGTATGATTTGTTGAGACAATATGCAAATTGTGTATGCATGTAGCATATTGTCTGTTTGGAACCAGAAGGGCGTTAACTCTGTATAAAAATAAATGAATTTATGCCCTTTTAGCTCCAAACAAGTGATGTGTGTCTCTGCAAACCCCACTTAGAAGTGTTATCAGGCTAATGAGAGTGTAACATTAAAGGTAAAGACCAGTTTTGGAAACGCCCCCTCTCAAAAAAATGAAATGGAAGCTCTTATCACCAATCATGGGAAAGAATATGTTTTGACTAATACGTGATCATACAAATTTTGCCGAGAAACCGGCTACTAATTAATATATTTGGCAAATTATTATATCTATTTGGACCTGATAGATATAACGCATGTGTTGCGGACGTGTGGGGGTAGTCCCATATACATCTTTCTGTGTACAGTGCTTGTAACTTTATCAAGACTGGACTGAATTTCTTATCATTTTGATGATTCCAGAACCTTGCAGTACACACCAATACTTATATGCTAGATGATCAACCTTTTCTGATCGATTCCACTACGTTTCTTTCACAATGCAATCGCATGACCATAACTGGTCTTTATCTTTAACAAGCAATATATGATTAATTTCTAACAGACATCGAGAAAAAATAAGAGGTATATAAATCTATATTGTTATTGAAATATACATTGCACTTTAATCATCAAGTACAAAACATGAAATATGTGTCAACTACAAATATTCCAAATAGATTTTTAAATTTACAAGTTGAAATACATGTACCACTTAAGTTTTACTCCAGCATCTGCAGTCTGTGTGAGTCACTACTCTTCATTACATATGTAGAACTACTCTTACATATTAGTGTCAGTCTTATACAAGAAAAGGGTACTGAAAATAATGTTAAGTTTATTCAAACACTTGGTAGAACGAGAACAAATGCATATATATATATATATATTGGATAAGGCAGACTAATGGAACATGGTTGCAACTCCATGCTGCCTTATCCAATATATATTTTGCTCTGCCTATAAGCATTCAGCACTGTAGGGAGGAATAGACCAAATCTAAGTATATATATACGCACACATGTCCTTTTTAACTTCTATTCTAGTGAACAGATTTCACATTTATCTATTATATCATTTTGGAGCATACAGGATGGAGCTGGGTTAGGACATCCTGTATGTCTGCAATATACCTTAATATGAAAGAAGTCCACATACTTTGGCAACATTACTTCGCTGTGGTTGCGATGCACCACTCTTTTCTTTATCCACCTTTGCATTATAGGGAATTACCAGATTGCAGATGTTAACAAACAGATATTGAAATAGCATTTCAGTATTTTACATCATTCTGTGGAAGACAGTCAATCAATATGGCAAGGCCAATATTCGATAACATAATAATACTCATAGTACATTGCATGTATAAGCTTTTTAAATATCTGATATACCGCACAAGAGATGATATTCATACATTTATCTCATAATAGATACATGAATACTCATAACCTTCACAACATTAATGGGTTATTCCATTTTAGAGAAAAGGGAAAACATGACAGAATTGTCGAGCCTATTAACAGCACATGTTTTGGGCAATCCTTAGTTGCCATCAAAATTAATCAAAAGTCGACCAGAGAGATGAATCATTCTTGATGAAATAAACATAAACTTGGCACATGTTGTAAAGGACACCTCTGTCTACCATTGTCCCCCAAATAAATATCAAATGATATGAAAATTGACATGTGTTCTTTTGGGGACATAATAAAATTGATAATAACAGATAACAAAAGCCTATCTGCACTAGTTTGGCCAGGAGGGATTAGACTTCCCTGCCTGGTCACTGACAGGTGGTTATCTCATCGAATCAGCTCTCAATTAATAAGACAAAGGGGACCATGGGGGACCAATGGTCACTGATAAGGTATTTTCTTATAGAGGGCGCAAGTAGCTATAAGTAGTGCAGTGGGGCTTTAAAGCCCTACTGTCCTACTTGTAGCTACTTGCTCCCTCTATATAGAAAACTTCCCCAATCAGTGCCTGTTAGTCCCCCATGATCCTCTTTTTCTGATGTTAGTTGAGTTAATGAGATAGCCACCTGTCAGTGACCTCCCTGTGTGGTCTAATCCCTTCTGGCATAGTACTGTTGACGGTCTTTAATACTAGTGTGCCAAAGCGCTGTATTTTTATCACCTTGGCATTCACAGTCCTGCGGTGAAGTATTCACGAGACCATGACATCTCTAGGATTTGACCACCACAATTTGTCATCAATAAATTGTTTAATAATAACACTCATAATTAGGCAAGAAAGTGAGGTGAAAGTGCCTATTTTTTGGTTTATAAATTGGCCCTATTAAGCACAGATGAGACAAGTATTTACACTACAACAAATGGCAAAAACAAATTGGTCAATTGGGAGCATTTTAAAGTGGGTTTTGGAGGTGTGACAGAGTTATGAAGTGGATTTTAACTCATCTTCACATTTTCTTGTTCATCATACTGTCTTTAGTAAATTATGAGAAAAGCAAGAAATATTATTCATAGAAAATGTTATGTGTTTTATTGCATAGTATCGCAAATTTGAAAGTAATACAAAATCTCAAAAAGTAATTGCAATTTCATTGACTGACAGAAGCATGTTCCACAAATCAGGTGAAATAAAATCTTGTTCAATTATTGAGCTTCAAAATGGCTGATCTTTTAGAAGGATTGGTAGTACTGAATGCTTTCTCTCCTCCATAGGTGTCCTCAGCTCTGTGAAGTGTATTTGAAGACTCATTTCTGTGGGCAGGATCTCTTGGTGTGGCCTAGAAGAAAGGATACATAGGACGTCATCAAATTGGAGAAAAAAACATTGTTGAATGTCCTAGTTAGTTTTTTCTTTAATTTACTTCATTAATTTTTTTTAGGATGACTGATGAAAAAAAAGGTGCAAATTTCTCAATGCATGTGAATCACAAGTACAAAATAACCTATCATGGTTAAAAAATACCACAAAAAGGTGTTGGGAGCTAAAGGGAACTCTTTTATAATTATTTCCATGGGAACCATCATATCACTTAACATAGAATAATAATTCAGATTATCTATAGACTGTGTACGACAAAAAACACTAAAAAAGTTGCACATAGAGGTCAATAAAGGTGCATTTGGTCAGTGCAGTCATTTTTTTTTTTTTTTTTTTTGGGGGGGGGGGGGGGGTTGATGTTGTTTTTTTTTAGAGAAAAAATTAAGAGTTAACTTTTATGATGTAAATTTTGAAGCACCAAACAATGTATGAGTGGTATAAGATGTTACATTGATTCTTGGGACATTATAATGAACAGGATGTACCTAATCAGTTTGGCAAGTTTTAGGGCTGATAACCCCTTTACAGAAATTTCCTTGAGTTTTAATCCTATTTTTGTCCTTTACACACAATACCGTATGATTGTGAGCCACAGTGCCTCAATAGACTTCAAATTTTACATAATCTTTTCCTCTAAAGATACATTCTTTATAATTGGACAATTCTGTACCTTCTTACATTGCATTCAGAATATCAGTTTATGATGAATTATATATCATTTTAAAGCAGATTATATCAATTTTTAGAAAAAACAATTTGTTTGTTATTTTATCTTATGTGGTGATTTTTAAATATAATGTTGCGTTGCTGGGTAACATATGAAACATTTTGCTATGATTTGCAACTTTCTTTGATTGAGATCTCCTTCCATACTGGGTACATTACCTTCTTCATGGCAGATACTGCATGTTGGCTTTCTCCTCTTGCCCTGCCCACCACCACCTCCACCACCCCTGCCTCCACCTCCTCCTCCTCTTCCTCTTCCACCTCGACCACCTTGGAATGAAGAAGAGGACCAATTCTTGGCCTGGCCTCCTGCACTTCCTCCTCCTGAAAAAAAAAAAATTAGGGTTAATGAAATAAAACATCTGACAAGCCTATTCCTCATCAATTTTATCATTGTAGTCAACTGACCACAACATTCTACCATCAAAATTGTATAATAACATCTCGATTCCATATCTTTCAAACATACAAACTTATTGCCTCGAAAATTGGACTTATAATGAACTAGATGGAACTTCGACTGCGCGCAGACGAAAATGATGCCTCCGTCAAAAAGCAATTTTACAAACCAAAACAGCAGAAATTTTTCAAATTCCAGTTCAATTGTAATCAATTAACAGGTTCTCAGAATATTGTGATAACAAGAAATTTCTCATATAATAATAATAATAATAATAACTTTTATTTACCCAGGGTAGCACTTCAGTTATGAAACTGTTCTTCCAGTGGGCCCTGCATAATTATGTTATTACTACCCTTCTCCAATCTAATATGCTGAGCGCCTAGCTAGAAGGCATTGTTATAAGTCTTTGGTATGACTCGGCCGGGGTTCGAACCCACGACCTCCCATTCATGAGGCAGGCGCTCTAACGACTGAGCCACCATGCCCGGTACATATACATATATGACCCTTTGATCTTTGACCTCATGACCCTAAAATCTACTCAGTTCTTTGGCTCTGCAAGATGTCCTGAGTTAAATAGTAATCCATCTGTCAGTTCTAATGAGAATGCGTTCACAAGCTATTTTTGCATACATAATGAGCCCATGACCTTTGACCTTTGACCTCATGACCCAAGAATCTACTCAGTTCATTGGCTCTGCAAGATACATACATGATCTAAGTTTGGCAGTAATCCATCAATCTGTTCTAATGATAATGCGATCACAAGCTATTTTTGCATACATAATGAGCCGCATGACCTTTGACCCTGACCTCATGACCCCAAAATTTAATCAGTTCATTGTCTCTGCAAGTAACGTACATGACCTAAGTTTGGCAGGAATCCAATAATCGGTTCTTGAGATAACACGATCACGAGCTGTTTTTGCATACATAATGAGCCGCATGACCTTTGACCTTGACCTCATGACCCCAAAATTTAATCAGTTCATTGGCTCTGCAAGATACATACATGACCAAAGTTTGGCAAGAATCCATCAATCGGTTCTTCAGATAACGCGATCACGAGAACGGGACGTACGTACGTACGGACAACCCGAAAACATAATGCCTCCGGGTACTTCGTAACGGAGGCATAAAAAGGACAGGATAACATCAATTTGAATTCAAGGTGAGGCAAACTGTAGGCCTAAAGAGCGCATCAAAATCTACATTTTGAGGTCCTCATTTTGCATTTTTTGTCTCAAAGACATTTGCAAGCAACTTTCACTATTTTACTTTATCTTCTTGCAAAGCAAATCCACAAATCAACTATGATGGGACTGATAGCTGCCCTGGAAAACCCACATCTATACATAATCATTCCTTACGAAGGAGAACAAAGTTGAGGCATGGAATTTTGAAGGGATTGGGTATCTGTGTCTCAGATTCTTAACGAAATCCTGGATTCAGCTCATGCTGCAATCTTAGTCATAAACCTTTAGGTCAGTTAGGAATCCCTGTCTGATTATCAAGATATTTATGATTGGAATTTGACATTTCAATAACCGTTTTCTAAACGGTTTTTATAACACTATCATCTATTGGGGAAAATGAGTATGGTAAAACCGTTTACTCACAGATTTTCACTTTTTTGAGGCACTTCATGATCATTTTGTGGACAATATTTTTAGGGCTTCAATATTACACCACATCACAGACACTGATAACACGTAGGGCCATGCATCTCAGATTTGTAAAACTGAAAACGTTGATAAACAATGCCTTAAATATATAAACAGAGTTTTAGGCTGTATTCCCAACGTTTAAGGTCGTAGAGTCAATGTTATCAATGAAAATCACAAGTCAAAACTCAACCATACCTCGGCTGAAGTTAGAGCTTCCCTTGAAACCTCCACCACCACCACCACCACCACCACTCTTGGGTTCTTCATCAGCCCACTGGAAGTATGAACACTGCTTCTCTCTTGGTTTGCCACACACGTAGAACTGACGACCTTGGTTTGGACCCTCCTTCTGTACAGTACGTCTGCGGAGATCAAATAAAAGTACAAGGATTCAACGATTGATGAAGGACTTAATGATCCATGTTCTATTTTGATAAAGCTGGCATCTTCCTTCCCATTCCACCATATCTTAGTATATCACTAAATAAGTGAAAAAATTCAAATTTCACTACCGGTATTCATTCATCCCCATGTACTGTACACATTTGGTGTTCTCTCTCAATCTTCAAGCATACCTGTAGAAAGATACATCACTGGTATCAATGTAATTTGGGTACCGTAAATCTCTGTGCATAAGACGCCGAAAAAAATTCCACTCGGAAACTAAAATAACTCTCAAATTTGTCTGTCATCTTGGTTTGAAAGTAATCTTTCTGATAGATCTCAATATGTAATTTATAATAATCATTCCTCCAATTTTTTTTCTATTACACACGGTGTACCACAAGGTTCTATCCTAGGTCCTCTACTGTTTTTTAATTTACATTAATGATCTTACACATTCAACTGAACATCGCAGTTAAATGAAAGTCCTTCCCGTGTGGATTTTTTAACACAGACCTGGCTAGCTGCCGGCAGAGTAGGAAAAAAAATTAAAAAATGAAGAATTAAAAAAAAAAAAAATTGGTGTGCTTCTTATACACAGAGATTTACGGGTATATAACAAGTTGGTATGTCATTTTTGTAATGAACTGAAACCCCCAACAAAAGCACAGATTAATTTGGGAGTGTTCATTCTGTATACAGACCACTTGGAGGTTCATAAAAACTTCCTCAATAAAATAATATAATCAAATTTAAAGTTGTAAAAATCTATCTATCACAACTTTTCCATGAATGTCATGATTTTTCTGTTAGCTTTCATCATCCAATAATGAAATGCTATGTCTTTATAGTAACCTAAAAATTCCACTTCATGATTATATTATGACCAAATTTTACTGAAGCAATTATTCTACTTACTGTACTGCAGCTGCATTGCACTGGCACATGACCTCCCCCCAGACATTAGTGGAAGAACCCTGGTCCCCTCCATCAGTTCCATACCCACTGGATCTATCGGCCATTCCATTCAGGCCAGTGGCAGGGGTGTCAAAACCACCACTGAATGAGGGACTTGTGTTGTTTCGACCGGTGTTGCCAAGATCTGGGGTTGAGGTATTCTCTGTGTTTTCTTCAGACCAGAGGAAGAAGTTGCAGCCCCCTGACTGGCATTTGAAAAATTGGCGACCTGTAGACAGAGAAAGGAAAACCAAGATTTATTCCTCATACCAGTGAGCAAGGAATTTCCATTTTTTAATGGACAATAAATCAATTCAATTCTAATCAATTCTCATTGGCAATTAGCTCAAAAGGCAGATGACAAGTTACTTGAGCATAATGTCGCTTTAAAACAACGGCACTAATACTTACTCAAGAAGTTGTCATACCTGGAGGGTGTTTCACAAAGATTACGATTGACTTTAAGTTGGACTTAACTATGGCAAGCTGTTTGTGCCACTGTTTGCTCTCACCATTTACTGGCAATGGTCTCTCAAGGGAGTTACAAATCATGGTCACACATCTACTGAATTGAGCTGTTATGATAGTTCATTTATTGAAGGAAAAAATATTATCTAAAGTTCATAATTGAGAGACCAATGGTGAGATCAACCAGGGGCATGAATGGCCTGTCATATAAGTCCAACTTAAGTCCATCTTAGTATTTGTGAAACACTCCCCTAGTCATCTCTGAGTACAAGTACTAAATTTATCATCCATTGTCAGACCCACAACATTGAAGAGGGTGAAATACGCCAGAGCAAGAATGCACAATATTAGAGAGAAAGAGATCGAGAGAGAGAGAGAGAGAGAGATTGGATAGAGATAGTAAACAAAAGGTGAAGATCAAAGGCAAATATTTAAAGATAGACAGTAAAGAGAACGAACGGGAGAAAGAGAGATAAAACATAAGATGAATTCAAAGTGCCAGATAAAGTCTAGGATTGAAACATGATCTCACCTTGATTTGGGCCCTCTTTTCTCACAGTGAGCTGAACAGCATCCTGACCACAGCTACATACCACTGCATTGCTTGTACTACTACTACTTTTACTCCCATTCCTATATAGAGTAGAGGTAAAAGATACAAGTATTTTCAATCTTGGACTCATAAAATTATGTTTTTCTTGAATTTCAGTTGCTTGTCAAGACCAAAGATATCTTGAATTATCATTAATATCATTTAAACAAAGATACAATATCACACATTTGTTCCATATGTATCAACAACAACAAAAAGAAGAAAAAAAAAAAGTAAAGCATAGTTGGAACATGGCAATGATTTTCTTTTACATATTTTTGTTTGCAATAAGAAATATATGTACAAATGTCATGCCGGTCACTCCCCCCTAAAATCAGTTAAATTTCTTACATTTTGCAGTTATATAATAGACTAAACTGCATTGGATATAACATAGATTACGATATCCCTTCAGGTTAATTTTCAGGCCCAATCTTTATTGAAATCTTAACCCCTAACTTAAGCAATTCTTTGGTAATAATTAGTTGAGATTTCAACAATCTCACCTGTTTGGCATGTTAATAACGAAGGAGATAATGGGTGACAGTCCGCAAACTATAACAACCCATTCTCTTCATACAACAGATTAAAATACCGATTTGTATAGCAATTAAGTGTATGAGGCAAATATTCCATTACCTTGATGGAATTTGAGAAAGGGGAGTCCTTGCGGCAGAATTTCCAAAGGATGACGTGGAGTATGATCTTGATGAAGAATTATCATTCCATCCTCCATCTCCTCCTCCTCCTCCTCTTCCTCCTCCTCTTCCTCCTCCTCCCCTATTACCTCCAAACTGTCCATTTCTGGTAGATGATGAAGATGACAATGCTGACGATGGGGCACTGCTAGAGTTGAACCAATGTGATGCTTCATTATCATCTATGTCCACAGAGCTTCCCCCTACAGGTCTACCTCCACCTCCTCCTCTGGTGCTGTTGGAAAATCCTCCTCCAGCACCTCCTCCTCCCCCTCTTCCTCCTCCTCCCCCACCACCCCCTCTTCCGCCTCCCCCACCACCACCTCTTCCTCCTCCTCCTCCTCCTCCTCTGTTTGCAGTTCTGTTACCAGAAGCTTAGATGAAAAGGAAATGATTTGAAATCGTAAAATAAGCAAATGAGGAGAAAGATATGTTTATCAACAGAAAAAAGACAAAAGACTTGTTGAATGGATAAAGAGACATTTAATAAAATAATTTCAAAGCATTCAGATCTTTTACTTGGATTTTATACAATTCAATGTATTTCTTACATGGTTTTAATATGAAAAATCTGGGTCTGTCTTAGATTTGGATGAACAATCTAGAACTAGTGCTGTAGCCGAACCGCCGAACCGAACGGAAGTTCGCCGAACATGGCACTCCCGAACCGAACCGAACCGAACCGAACACAAAGGCCTGGTTCGGATGTTCGGCAGAAAAATGTAAATGTTTTTGCAAGCTAATAATATTGTCAATTTGGACCTAATTTTCATGTCATGATTGCTCATTTTATATTTACTTTTTTGCCATTTTCCGCCTTTGTGATTGATGCCTATCCAGTGGTGGGCCCGACTTCACTGGCGCCATTTAAATCCCAAATCCTGACCACGCTACGTCGCGATCGCAAGACATAAACAAAAAAAGCGTGATCAAAACAACTTCAGCTCAAATCCATTCAACAAAAAAATAATATTTTAATTGTAACAATATCGGACAAATTTTACAATATAAATAATGAAATAAATATATATTATAGTATGGTATTTATTTATTCAGGAAAAATGGGATTTTATATTTTTCCTATTGAAAATAAAAACTTATAAAAAACAGTTATTGACGAGCCTGCATGTGTCTCTATTCAAGATGGCAGCTTTCATGACTCTAACATTAGACAACAACCGTCTCGGAAAATCTTTACAAAATATCATTTATTTACAAATTGAAAACATGATTCTTTTAAAATTGAAAATAAAACACGATTCAAGACGGAAATACGAATGTAAGTACAGGGATGCCAACCTTTCAGAGCACAAATCAGTAATCGTAAGGCTAAAAATCCGTAATTTGGAGACAAAATCCGTAATTTTCTGCGCGACGCAAATTTTTCTGCACGCTGGCAAGCGCAGCTCGCAGGCAAGCGCGATAGCACAACAAGTTAAATAAAAGTAACATACCTGTTCATTAGTTGGTGTTACACGATGCATTTCCATTTCTTACTGTATTCTTCTTTAAAAGTCTGTAACTTCTTGCCACGCTTCTTAGTTGTGGAAGACATGATGATTGATATCTAAATCCAACCAACATGAGTTCAGATTGTCGACGAAAATCGACGAACGCTGTGACAGCCTGTGAGAAATCCGACAGTGTACACGGCGCTAGCGTAGCGAGGCCTGGCGCTGGCCCGGCGGTAGCGGCGCGGCCAAGAGAGGTATTTCACCCGGCCCCCGCTCGCGAAGCACATGTATGCACCTGCGCTGTGAAAGGGGTGTGCTAGATAACAAATTGTCCGATCGGAAGCGCTATGGGATTTCTATGCATGGATTCAAGGATGGCTGCGCTGCAATAGTCAAAAGTACCGGTACGTGCTAAACCTTAAAGTGCTAATTTTGAAATCGGCAAAATCCGGGATTTATGGTATGAAAACCGTACCGCCCGTAATTGGCCGATTTCCCGTAGAAATTACGGGAAATCCGTACTAGTTGGCATCTCTGTAAGTAGTATTTTTCTTCAAAAATAATTATGTTTAGAGCAGTTTTTAATGTGAAATGGTCGGAAGCAGTGGGCAGAAGTCCTCCGTGCTGGTCGGGCCCGGCAGGCAGGCCAGCCCGCCCAGTGCCGACCGCCGTGGCTATAACGCTGCATGCTATTATATTACCGAACCCCGAACCGAACCAAGTTCGGGTGAAAAATTGCCGAACTCTGCCGAACCGAACCGAACACGAACATAGCGTCTGACTTACAGCACTATCTAGAACTACACAAACATTAAAAGAATGACGATGATACTATTATATACATGTATATAACAATAATAACAATGATTAAACAATAATACTATTAATAATATTAATGATGAAGATGAAAATGATAACAGCAATAATAATAAGTGGGTTCTTTTATAGTGCTCATGTCTGCCAGACTGCGGTCCACAATAGAGAAGATGAAAAAAGGGTGCTACATACCTTGGTAAGACTGATCTCTTGGTCTGAGGTAAGCTAGATTGAGATCCAGCACATCTTTAAGAGTTGTGTCACATCCTCCTATGCATCCTTCATATCTATATGTATCACACAAAAAAAAAAGAATTAAAACAAGTCAACGCAAAGCGTAGCATCCCCTCGCACGGTACAAATGGCCTATATACGTCAGAACAAGTTACCTCCATTGGATTGTACTATTATATTACTAGGCAAGGAAGTTAACCACATTTTCACATATATAATTAGGTGTTTTTTCATATTTAATGAGCTATGACCTTTCAACTTTGACCTACATACTCAGAAATCGAACTTTTAAGCTGTACATGTATTTTGATACCATGAACCTTCTTCTTAAATTTCATTAAAATTTGTCAAACATTACTCAAGTTATCGAATGGAAACCAGATTCGCATATTTATTGAGCTATGACCTTTGACCTTCATACTCCGAAATCAAACTTAGGCTGTGTTTTGATACCATGAACCTTCATATCAAATATCATTAAAATCTGTCAAACAGTATTAAAGTTATGGATCGGAAACCAGATTCGCATATTTAATGAGCTATGACCTTTGACCTACATACTCCGAAATCGAACTTAGGATGTGTTTGATATATACCATGTACCTTCATATCAAATTTCATGAAAATCCGTCAAACATTACTAAAGTTATCGATTGGAAACCAGATGTGTATTTTTTCGCATATTTAATGAGCTATGACCTTTGACCTACTTACTCCAAAATCGAACTTAGCTTGTATTTTAATATGATGTACCTTCATATCAAATTTCATTAAAATCCGTGAAACATTACTGAAGTTATCGATCGGAAACCAAATTTGTTACGGACGCACGGACGCACGGACGCACGGCAGCGTTACTATATCCCCTCCGACTTCGTCGGCGAGGGGATAAAAAAGAATTAGATTTAGGTAATGTAAATGACTAATTAATGTTTGTTCAGATATGACACAGCAAACCGCGGCATACTTTTCTGATAACTTAGATTAGAGTGTACCCTTCACATTTCTGTATCTTATAACACAGAGCTCAGTAAATAGACACAAAAAAATTATCCAAACTTCATGGGTAACAGTGTAAATGTCTAATCATATTATCATACAACGAAATGACTGGATAAAATCCGGACTTACTCAAGTGGTATCATTGGGGGTACAGATCCTCTCTTGAACTTGAATTTGATCTTATTGACTGGTCCAGGTTGACACTGGAAGACAAATTTGATACAATGAACTTCCTTACACAAAAACTTTGGCGTGAGTTGTACTTCGACATTGAGACTTGAAGGACAGAGAGCAGACACTGAGAAGCTGATTTTGATGCATAGTTGATGAATAGTACTCTTGGTGCTATTACCACACATGAGGAACTTAAGGGGGGGGGGGGGGGAGCTGCCAATGGCTAAGTTTCTCCTGACAAGGGTAAAGCCAAGGGTAATTAATATCTCAATGCATTTGTCAATGCATATGTTTCAGTCCTTCCAAAACAATTACTTGTAACCTAGGATGCTGCAAAGCCATATTTCATTCAATTCAGACCAAGGGTGATCAACTTTTTTCTGAAAAGACATTGGAGTTTGACCACAGTTGTTTACTTCTATGATTCACAGTTTATGTAAAATTTTCATTTTACACTTCGGTTGCTTCGCCTCTGCACCTCTTTGCACGGTAGCTCATTTGCCACATGTGCTATTTTGTACAGAAGAATAGGCACCGACTGAAGAAAGGATTGTTTTGTGCAACACAATGGCTTTGCAAAATTACCTACATGTATTTCTTGTCTTGATAAGCTCCATGACAACCCTTTTAGCCCTATTTAGCCCGGGGGGCCCCCCCTCGACATTTTTCGCGATAATTTTTTTAACGCAAGAAAATCTTGCACTGAAATTTTGTGACTTTTTTCTTTCGAGTCTTGCGCATCTTTTAAAAGAAATTTTTTGAAAATCGGACCTACCATTACAAAGTCACATGTCCTTTTGTCTTTGCATGTCAGCCCGAAAATCGCTCATTTTTGTGATTTGTGTACAAAACATATGGAAATCTCATTTTTCAAATAAAGAGATAAAACATTGGTTATTTGGTCTTGTTTATAGTTAAGGTGTTTATTTTGGGGTCAAAATAGTTGAATTATAGTTGGAAATGAAATAAAACAACAAAAACAATGAAATACATAAGTTAAAAAAACAAAGAAATACATAAGAAATTTTCAAAACAATAGATAACATAAGGAATAACCCTGGTTTTTCAATTTTTTGTGTTGTTTTATTATTTCAAATGGTCTAACAAATATATGTAGTGAGAAAGAATGCTTAAATATGAATAATGTCTGATTTATGGGCAAAAATGTGAATTTGGTGACCTTATTTGCATAAATTACCATAAATATGCAAATGAGTAAATTTTTCAAAAAATTGAAATTATCATAGTATTCTATACACTTCACTTGACATGTATGCAAATTTTTGCAGCGATCGGTCGTTTCACGGCCGAGATCATGGGGGGGGGGGGCCTTAGAAGCCCCCCCCCCCCCCCCCCCCCCCCGGGCTATGCAGTTTCAAAATAGCCCGGGCTAAATAGGGTTAAAACTGGTATAGATTGATCTTGGAAACACATAAATTATGTTGAAGCCTTTGGTATATATGGCACCTGTAGGGAGAACATTTGTGTGGTATGAAAAGAGTTAATACTATCTAAGAGATGAAGAAGAACAACATAAGAGAGAAAATCAGAATAATGCAAAGAAACGTGGGGATTTACCTGCTGACAGACGGTATCAGACACATCAGCAGACTCTATGACGGCCGGGAACCAGACCGCTGCCTTGCATCCCGGGTACCCCATACAGCTAACCATCCATCCCCCAGCTTTCCTCTCCTTCAGGGTCATCGGCTCGCTGCAGTGAGGACACTTCCGGACAATAGAGGGCGCACTCACCTGTAATGCTGTATGCCGGATATATGGTACTGATGTTATCACTATGTTAACAAAGAGTGGCAAATCAATTAACTGTGAGATATCGTTAATGCAAGATAATCACTGTGCAAAGTTTTCACTTTCACATCTAACTGCTCTTATGTACAAGGGAGTGTATCATGGCAAATGCTGGTTAACGCCATCTACGTCTTCTTTAGGTCAACTGCACGAAAACGAATGGACTTGATTAACTGGAATAGCGCGTTAGCGTTCATGAAACAGACCGACGTTCCCCTCACGCTTCGGTTTCACGTATGTTGCACGCATGTGAATGCTGCGGTCGTGTCGTCCGTATTATACCTGATTGCCCCCTGAGTAGGGCCACGGGAAAGATACATACCCGGTAGTCTCGTCATGATACACTCCCTTTAACTTGTGGCAACTTTGGATGAATGTCTTGCCAAAGGACGTTAGTTCAGAGCTGGGATTGGAACCGTGAACCCTTGGATAGAGAGTACAGTGAATGAACCACCACACCACAACACCTCATGTCTCATCCACCACATCTCTCCTCGCTAGTGTTATCTGTTTCGCTATTTCCTCTCACTCACTCAATCGCTGATGTTATCCCTATTCCTTTCTTCATACATCATTCACATCTTCAAACTTACAGGTTGCATTGTGCGATTGAGCAGGCTGACCCAAATACTGTTCCAATGCACTGTCTAACATGGTTGCCTAGGAAACAAACATAATTGTACAGTTAAAAGCTAAATTATTCATATCCTTACAAAGTTTTGTTATTGTTTAACACTATGAATATGACTGACAAAGAAAGTGGACAAAATATACAGTTCCTCAGGTAGACAAAGAAACATCCCTTCACTGCTATTATGTAAAAATGTGTAGAACAGGTGTCACATGCATATTCACCTGTTCTACACATTTTTACATAATAGCAGTGAAGGGATGTTCCTTTATTTACCTGAGGAACTGTATATTTTGTCCGCTTTCTTTGTCAGTCATGTTCATAGTGTAAATAAGTGGAAAAAATTGATTTATCCCAATTTATATTTCAGAAACATAAATCTGGACAAATATATTTTGGAAAATGTGACATATCAAAGCTTACATCTAAAGGGATTGAACAAAGGCCCTAAATCAACCAGTTCACCTTTCATTCTTGAGTTATATAAAAAAACACAAAAATCATAAAATGTACAAGGGGTATGAATAATTCAGTTGTTAACTGTAGGTGTACAATAATGGACATCTCTTCATTTGTCAAGACCTTTTGAGAATAAACAATAAACAATTTTAACCCTTGAACTCTAGTCATGATATATCTAATGCTAAAATCAGATATTGTTGACTTAATCCCCCATTAAAATGAACATACCCGTATAATTGTACCTGGAAGTAAGGCTATTTCTACACTAAATATTTCAATGCATTTAAAAAAAAAATCATGCAGGGAAAACATTCCTAAGATATCTCTGGAGTGAACCAAATAGAAATGCATGTTATTTGAAAATGAAGCAGTCCAATTGAGTTGATCTCAGTTAATATGAGGCCTGAAATAAAAGGAAATATTTTTTACCAACCTTTCTTGCAGCCTCTATGAAAACCTGCTTGTATTTATCCACCTGTTCAGCAAGAACATCCTCAGGGTTCTTCTGACCATCAGATATTCTACATCAGAAATGTATTCAGAATGCCAAGGTTAAAGATGCATGGTAGTGGGCTCTCATGGGGAATTAAACACCATTTGTGTGTGAACCCAATATCAGGTGATCATGTCAATCACCAGAATAAGCATTCAGTTTTATGACAAACATGCCTCATTTGCCACCAAATGCCCCATATTATGGAAAAGACATTCTCTTGTATTCCCTTCACCTGAAGATTCTCTTAGAGACTAGGAGGTTTATCTTGATGAGACCTCAGGTTTACTGTGTGCTAGACTTTGATAGTATTCCACCAAGACTGGTGTCAGCGAATTATGAACTTCTGAAAATGGAAACTGACTACTATCTCCCTTAAAAAATAAGATACTACTACATGACTCAGACTGACTATTTTAGTCATACGTACATTCCTTGTAAATAATATAAACATTGCAAAAATCCAGAATATCATAAAAATTATTTTTAGAGGGAATATGTGCAGTTTCTCTGATCAGAGGTTTACACATTTTTTCATTCTTCATACGATAAACCAATAAACCAATGAGGATTAAGGATTTAGGTTTAAGATAACTCAATCCGGCCTGACTTGGTCAGTTCAGTATGTTGTTGACTGTGATCAATACAAAAAGAGAGACAAGGGCCTTTCCAAAATAACTGGCTTTCAATTGGAAGTTCCACACACAAAAAAAAAAAAAAAAAAATCTGTCAGATGATGGAATCTCGTTAACATTTTAAAGTCTAGTATTTGATTTCTGGGAGCCAACCTTTTAAGATCTGATTCGAGTTCTGCTCTGAGGTTTGGTTTAGACAGCTCGTAGCCCATGTTATCATAGCCCTCACACAGCCCCATGCCGAGCTCACCGGGCACAAACCGGCCGTCTGGACGCACTCCCACGTACAGCCGAGACTTGATGGTCTCGATGTGCTCTGCGTGTGTAGCATCGGTCCCTGAGAATAAGAAAAGCAACATGTTTAGAGGTGTAAATGTGTTCTGGCAACAGTTGCTTCTAGATTTATTCCATTATAATATATAGGGTTAAGCTTGGGTTGTGATGGTTTTTAGATTAGACTACAAGTTACACTTGAGGTTGAGAGTAGGTATAATATTGGGTCCCAGGTTGAAGTTAGGTATTGTATTAGTATTACAGAACCCTGGTCTTCTAAATATATAGTAAGCTGTAGTGAGCTGTAATTAAGAAGTTATGTAGGTCGAATAGTTAAAGGAAAAATGTGAAATATTCCCTGCACAGTGGAGAGTCAGCGGTGTAAAAATGTGGAATCAAAATTAAATCCAAAGACCGGGGTAACAACACTCTATGAATTACTCTGATCAGATGACTCCTGTTTCCAGCCAGAAGGGCAATAACTCTGTGTAAAATGATTCGGCTTAGGACCCTTCTGGCTGCAAACAGACAAAATGTACCGATATAGTGATCATTTTGATGATGAATGTGATTCACAGCATCTACTATATTTCTGTTTAAAACAGATTATCATTTATAACAATGATGAGGTGCAAGATGGGTCAGAGTCTGATGCAATTTGATTAGTGTTGGACATGAGGGCACATGTCAACATTGTAGGTCCTTGTGTAGGGTAAATTTCCTTACCGATGCCATGCTTATCCATGAGGGTGATGAGATCAGCTTCAGTCAGTAGGGGAGGGGCTTGTGTCTGACCATCTACCATCTAAAGAAAATAAAAGAAGCCAGGAGAATAAAGAAGGGTACTTTTCTCAGATATAGCTGGAACACAACTGTAACTGTCTGTAACACTAAGTAGATAATTTTATATTTTGTGTGTGTATAGCGCTGTATTGTATGACCTGCCAAATGGGGCCATGGTCCTGGGATATATTGAGGTATAGTGGTTTATTCAATTGATTCTCAACCAAAAGGTTTATGGTTCTAATCTCTGCCCAGGATGTATGTCCTTTTAATCTCTCCTCACCTAGGTAAAAAAAAGGACCTGGAATAATCTAGACCTTTTGAAAGCATTGTAAGCTTACAACAGCTGCCCACTTTAATCAATATCTTGCAGATCCCCCCTCCTCCAACTTAAATACCACTCCAATATCTTTATCTTCCTAGGGTTACAATGAATTCTGAAACTCGCAAAGTCCTCATCTCTATTGATATTGGTTAAAAATGTTTGACCTCTGTCATACACAGGAATGATCATAGTGTTCCATTAGTCTTATCAAGAAAAACATGTACCGGTAGGTTTTCCTAGAGTGGCTCATCATTAATACAGAGTTGTCAAGTTATGTTTGAACACTTTACGTTTTTATAGCTTAATAACTTCTTAATCTTTTATTATTTTTGTCCCAATTCTACACTGATCTATTTCTCTTATGTATAATGTTACTGCTTTTAAAACCAACTCGATACCAGAATGGACTTTCCCCTTTAAAAATGAAATTGAAACTCCCACCATTCCTCACCTCAATCGACGTGGGCTCGAAGGTATGACCCTTGTCATATACAGCCAAACAGGGATGATCTTAAAAGTTAATTTGTCATGCGAATAGTCTTAAAAGTTCCCTGAATTTGATCTTCAGTCATCACAGACTTGCCAATAAATATCTGATTAATCAAAACTTTAAAGTTTTATTACTTCTTAATCTTATATTATTATTTTAAATCTCAATCCACATAAAGCCCTGCCCATCCTCACCTCCAGCGAAGTGGGTTCAAAAGTCTGACCTCTGTCATAAACGGGGATGATTTTAGCATTCCATTTCTCATACGGGTAGACATCCAGGTAGTTCCTAGCTATGATCATCAGTCCCGTAGCAGTGAACTCCTCCTCGGCGATGGTGATGTTAACAATGGTCTCCTTTCCTTGGGCATCCTGAAAACAGACATATACAACAACATTTTGATTGGTATTGGCGTGGTCAATCAATTGCATGTATAGGGTTAAGAATATGTGTACATGAGAACAGCAAGCTATTAAAGAAGTGTCTGACAATAAGCTCATAGACCTTCTGCTCATTACCCTGTAGGTTACCGTTGTATTTGATAGGGTGCATGGGTGGATGGGGGAATTGGGAGATGGGGGTTGGGCGTGGTCAATCAATAACATGTCTAGGGTTGAGAATATGTTTACCTGAGAGCAGCAAGCTAAGAAGTGTCTGACAATAAGCTCATAGACCTTCTGCTCATTACCCTGTAGGTTACCGTTGTATTTGGTAGGGTGGATCGGAGGATGGGCGTGGTCAGTCTTCTTACCCTGCCTTGGATGGGGGCCTTGCTGCAGAAGATTACCGGCAAATGCTGGAAGAAAGAAAATTATTGAAATAGTGAATTTTGAAGACAACAGATTTCCTGGTAAGATACTGGATAAAACAATTATCTTGTCTACCAAAATGGTAAAAATAAATAAATAATGTATGACAAAGGATGGGAGAGTTCATAAAGAGGAAAAAAACATATCTAACTCTATGGAAAGAGAATTACTGTAAATAATAAAAAATTTCATATGTACTTTCGAAACTGGGCAAATACTCCTACACTGTAAGAGAGAGAAGAGAAAGACAGTGAGACAGTGAGATAAACAGAGAGAGAAAGAGAGTGAGATAAACAGAGAGAGAAAGAGAGAGAGAAAGAGAGAGGGAGAAAGGGAGAGAGAGAGGGAGAAAGGGAGAGGGAGAGAGAGGGAGAGAAAGGAGGAATTTGAAAATAAATGACATTTAATTAAACATTTGAACAAAAAATACTATGTATAGATCAGTAATGCTTTGGATGTAGTACTGAGGGAGTTATTGAACACATACCTCCCCACTGGGCGTCCTGAGTCTGCTTCTCAATCAATGGAACTAAATTGAGCTCCTTTGGGAAAATGTTGGTCTCTGTACGAGGATAGCTGATGAATCTGAGTTGGAAAAGAAAGACAGAGACAGGAGGGGGAAGGAGGGAGGGCAAGAAAATGTTCATTAAAAAATGAGGAAAGAAATCAATGATAAAAATGCATAAGTTCATATGATTCTAAAATGTAGCACTCTGAGAGTGTATAGTGCTGTGGTAAAGGAGTGATCTTAATGCAAGGCATTCACACTGAAATATAAAATTATTGCTAAGTTTTGGGTATTACCTTTAAACATACACATATTACAGGAAAAGACCAGTTTTGGAAACACCCCCTATCAAAAAATGAAATGGAAGCTCTTATTACCAATCATGTGAAAGAATATGTTTTGACTAATACGTGATGATACAAATTTTACCGCTTTGAATTATTATCTATTTGGACCTGATAGATATCGCGCAAGTGTCGCATAGTCCCATATACATCTTTCTGTGTACAGTTCTTGTAACTTTACCAAGACTGGGCCAAGTTTCTTATCATTTTGATGATTCCAGAACCTTACAGTACACACCAATACTTATATGCTAGATGATCAACCTTTTCTGATCGATTCCACAACGTTTCTTTCACAATGCGATCGCATGACCATAACTGGTCTTTATCTTTAATATCTAATTGGCCAGCATCAGCTGAAGATTACGACAAACTCACCCCTGAGTATAAAGTTTTTCTGCTATCTTCATGGCCTGCTGGGCACTGATCTTCAGCTTACGGGCAGCAAGCTTCTCTAGTTCCTGATCAACCGTTGGTCAAACACAAGAAGAAAATAAAGCAAAGACTATGAGCTTCTCATAATATACACAAATATACTGGAACACATCAAACATTGAAATACGTAGTACAATAATGAAGTATGTATTCAATAGCAAAAAAGTTCTCTGAATTTCGAAATGGAATTTAATAACTTTGTAATACATGATGAAAAGCAAGTAATAACATGAACATGTACCTCGTATACAATACTACATGTGTTGTAATCAATAATTTAGACATGTATTGTCATTATCTGTTTTATAGATCGCATGTAGGACTACGACGAAAGCTCAGTATGCAAGACTGTAGTATTAAACTCCAGAAAAAATAAATATTATCATCAAAGATATATGAGTATACTTCTTTTAGTAGACTGTGGAGAGATACATCCATTTGGTTCTGTGAACAGATGTTATTTTCTTGGTTGTTTGTATGTGTATACATGTATGTGTTTCTATTGTACTTTATTTGTCTGTCTTGATTTCTTATATTGCCTGTTTATTTCTGATGGAAAGCATATTTCCACATGTGTGGACAAGAATTAGTAAGGAATCATATCATCAATTATAGTAGTCATTCCAAATCGTGAAAAGTTTGAAAGCTGAATTAGATACATACCACAGTATCCAGTGGCAGTGGTCTCCATTTACTCTTGGGTTTACTGCGCTCATCAACAACAGTTGCAAGAGGGTTCTAAGAAATGAAGAAATCAATATAAGATTTAGTAAAATAGTTTCATTACCAAGATAATGATAACTCAGGCTCTGTTGATTGTTACGCATCAACTAAACATTTGAAGTAGCTGTTTTGTTTTGAGTTTCCATATCTTTTCCAAATTCTTTCTACTGGAGCCAATGACAGATTGATTTATCATTTATGTAAACATTTTAATTGAATCAGTTTCATGGCAATTTACATGAATTTCTCAAGCATACCCAGCTCAAACAAAGTCATACAATTATCTCTTGTCAGATTTACATCAGACAGCTTTCTGACCATTCTGACTGCATGAATCTTTGTAATAATAATAATAACAGCTAGTTCTTACATAGCGCTTTTCAGGACCGAAGGCCCACTCAAAGCGCTTTACAGATAAATATATTATTACCCTAACATTCATTTATTTTATACATTTTCTGGCTTCTTTTCATACCTCTTTCTTTATATAATTTTCAGTTTTGAGAAAATTTTGCTACTGATACAAAGCCAACTTTGGAATTCAATTGAAGCTTTTGGATGAGTATTTTACCCAAGTTTAAGACAGCTCCAGAGTTAACTAAAGCCACCAATTTTGGAGCCCTTGATTGGCACTTGGCAGGCATGAGGTTGTTATACGCAGTCATTGTAGTCATATGCAGCTTTTTTCACACACAGCTAAAATTCATTGTATCTAGAGCTGATTAGTTTAAAGCTTATTAGTACTAGTGTAAAGGAGAGATTAGACCAGCCTGTAAGGTCACTGGACAGGTGGTTATCTCATTAATTCAGCTCTCAAATAACACAAGAAAAATAGGATCATGGTGGACCAATGGTCACCGATTAGGCATTGTTTGTTATATAGAGGGTGCAAGTAGCTACAAGTAGTGCAGTGGGCCTTTAAAGCTGTTTAACTTAACAGTTTTAAACAGCTTTAAAGAAAATTTTCCGTGTGAACATCGTTTATACGATGTTCTGATAAGATACGAAGTCGCGATTCATACGCCCCTCAAAGCAGGCTGCAGATATGAAGTTTGTATCTAGAGAGCTTGACATTTTGTGTGTGAACGGTTATACATGTTTAAACTGGATGGAGCGTGCGCTTTGTTTGATATTACATGACCTTCAATGCGTAATGGCACTACTGCGCTTTTTAAGAGCAGTAGTTAATCACGAAACGATCAACGATCGCACCAAAATTTATCTGTGTGAATGATGTCGTATGTAAAGCTGATTAGTTTAAAGAGCTTTAAACTAATCAGCTTTAAAGAATTGTACTTGTGTGTGAAAAGGCTGCACGTTCGATGCCTTTAATTGCACATTACAATGAATTAATCATGTGACTTCACATGGCTAATCAATGAAAATGTTGCCTTAAGGTCTGCTTGCTTAAGCAAAGTACTTAGATGGTATCTCACTACAAGTTTAGACATAATCCTTAGCCTAAATGCTAAGGACAACACTGACTTAAAATCTGTTTACAGAATTGAATGCAGCCCCAGAAGTGTTACCTCAGTACAGATTTCGTAGAAGACTTGACAGGCCAGTTGATCAAATAACCTATGCCTCTTCCAGTGGAACTCAACCAGGCCATCTTCAGTCTTATGTGTTACTGAATGGGAAAGAATGGATAAATGATTAACCTTTCGCAATCATACACTGTACAAAAAAAATATGAATTTATACTAAAATATGATTCAATCTTTAGTCTGAACTTTAAAAAAATTCATATTAGAGAAGATGATATCATAAAGATATATACTACGTTTTTTTTAATCTACCTGAATTCTTCAATAATCCAATTAATATGAGGAAAATGTAATATTTCATTAACAATGGTTGTTTTATTGCCCATATCAATGACTTCATAAGCCTACATGTGCAATCCAAAGGCCATCTTCCCATCCAGAGTAGACTATCTGATGGTTTCCATGGTTACAGAAAACTTTGCATAATTACCTTTGATCTTATAGAATGTTTCCGGAATGAAGGCTTCAACCTGCTTGTAGCGTTCCACTACGAAACCCAGGGTAGGGAACTGACAAGAGCCGAAGCTGATGAGCTGGTTCTGCAGAAGATCAGGGAAGACTCTCTGGAGGCGTAGGGTCTGGAATCGGGTGAAAGCAGCACCTGTTCGGATAAAAAATATAAGCTTCGAGTTAAATCCAGAGATGCCAACCTCTTGACATAAAAAAACAGACTGAGTATCCTAAAAAAAAAAAAAAAAAAGATTTTCACGCAAACTCGACTCTACCACTGGCCCATCGGCCCCGGGCCAGTAAAATTTGAGAAAAATGTTTGCTCTTTCATTAAAAGTTATTGAAAAAATTGTAAAGCAAAGTTTTTGTTGGGTTTGTGGGGGTTTACTTATACATGTTTCTATGTGATTCCATTGTTTTTATGAGTTTAAAAAAAAAAAAAATTAAAAATTGTTTTTTTGATGAAAAATCGTATTTTAAGATTTTAAGATCGCATTTCACTCTTATTATCGTACTAAATATGATTTAATCGTACTGGTTGGCATCTCTGTAAATCCTTTGCCATCAGCACATTGAATGCAAATGCCCATTGCACCACTCTCAAGAGAGAGACATTCATCTCCATTCGCCACTCCATACCCGGGAGCAAGGGGGGGGGGGGGAACGTGGTATGATTTGAAAATACATGTGAGAGAAATTGCCCTTATAATAATGTATGAGTGTTCTTCATGTGTAAAGGTGTAAGCAGGCATGAATCCAGTTGCATGATTATAATACGGGGGGAAGGGGGGGGGGAGTATAAAAAAAAGGATTCAGGGAAAAAAAGAATGGCATCTAACAAAACCCCCCCCCCCCTTTTGAGTAAGAGAATTGGGAAAAATCATTTAGCCCCCCCCCCCCCCCCCCCCCCCCCCCTCCCATTAAAACATGGTAGGATGCAAGCTACCTTTTCCAACCTTAGCCCAATACTTACATGTGTAATATCTGAGTGAGGAGGAAAGGGAGAGGAGATGGAGGAGCAGATGGTGGATGAGGGGAAGAGGCACTTAAGTCTATCTGACAGGGAAAAACAAACTATCAAAGCCCCACTGTCCTACTTGTAGCTACTTGCTCCCTCTATATAGAAAACTTCCCCAATCGGTGCCTGTTGGTCCCCCATGATCCTCTTTTTCTTATGTTAGTTGAGAGCTGAGTTAATGAGATAGCCACCTGTCAGTGACCTCGCTGTGTGGTCTAATCCCTTCTGGCCCAGTAGTAGTGTCGGTCTTTAAGCTTACTGCTGGCAATCTTCATTAAGTGAAATCAATAGTTCTGTAATGATATCATGTCATGGTCATACTAGCAAACTAGCTCTCTTACCTATCCTTAGGTCAAGCTGCTGCCTAACGTCCACTGCTTGGGAAACACGCTGGTCAGGTCTGACAAGATTCGCACACGCACGGGTGATGGATCTACATGACAAAGAGTATTTCTTTCAATGATCAAGAAACAAGATATTCATCTGGGAAGGAACAGGAAAGTTGAATATGATGTTACCAGTCTCATGCTAGTTTCAAATTGCACAGGGATATCTACCCTAAATCTCTGTGTATAAGATGCACTCCTATTTTTAAGACCAAATATATATTTTTTTTAAACCCAAGGGACTTTCATTTTGATACGAGGTGAAGTTAATGGCGCCGATTTGTGCTTGTCACAAATAAAGGAACAACTGCAGAATTAAGCCCAGACAAACTTTCCTCCGAGTCCAAACAGAAATTTGGACAGGCTATATAGTTTTCGAGTGGTGAGACGATATCCCCTGTGTGAGTGAGCTGAAGACACAGGTAAGCTTCGGCCGTCAGAGTGCCATGTAAAGGGCATAATTTATTGAGACAGAAAAAAAAAAAAAAAAAAAAAAAAAAAACTCTATCCCCTTCAAATTAGGAATGTAGGGCAACTTCAAATAGTATCCTATTCTTTATTCGCATTATGTTATTTATGTTGAGACACAGAGGTTTTTGAAAACCACTAAAAAGTAGCATTTTGAAGACTCAAAATATCCTGTACCTGTGTATAAGACGCATCCCCGACTTTTGAATTTTTCCGATGCAAAAAAAGTGTGTCTTATACACAGAGATTTACGGTATTGTTTTTATGATAAATGTGAGAATAATAAGTTTTTTGTGATTTTTCTGTTATCAAAGTGATAATTAATCTGTTTTTAAAATTTAAATGATATCTTATAATCATAAAAATTTCAGATAAATACGAAAACAAAGATAACCACATACATAATTTAACCCTCGTCGTACTGGGCTATTATAGCTCCTGATTAGTGGGAATGCTTACAAATTTTAGTGATACATGTGCAATACATCATCTGTTTGGAACCAGAAGGTTGTTATCTGATGATTTGAGTTAACGCCTTTATGCTTCCAAACAGACGACATGTAGTTTGAAACAATATCATTACAGGATGTATTATATTGTTTAAAAGGGCAGAGCTTTACCATTATTGTACAAGTAAATACATCACATCTCAACTGTACTTACTGCGGAGTAATCTCGGAGAACCGGGCTCTGTATACATCCAGTCTAGGTTTCACTATTTGGGAGGAAAATGACACCCAACAAGTGGTTATCAGAAGTTATTATACATGTATATCAAATATCAAAAAGACTTCAATTAATTTTCATGAATATTGAATGATGCTGCTACTTTAAATGGTGTCAGCAGCAATTTGCACATTACAGTTTCAATTATCTGTGTTTAACAACACCTAATGTCTTAACAGCACAGAAAAGGCAGAAAACAGTTTCATTTTCAGACGAAAATACTATAATCAGGAATATAAGCACCATCATATTTCATTTTGTTTTCAACTATCATTTTCTTCAAAGGAACACAAGTCTGTGACTTCATCACATCTAATCATCAAATAAAAATATGATGCAATTATGAATACATTTTTGTTAACCAAGCATTACAAATATAAATGAAGCACTGAATTGTACGATTGTATTCCTGTATCTTTTCTGCAGTCAGTCTCTTAATTTCTGACTAGTTTCATACCTGGTCTGTATACATCAATGATGTGATAGATAATATTCACTCCTTCCCATCACAATGCTAATATTAGATAATTTTTGTTAAATGACAAATATAAAGTGAAATATGTTAACTGCATAAAAGATTGGTTTTCCAATATCTAATTTTTTTTCTTTCTGTCCAAAATAAAATTCTGCAGTCCTAAGTCTCCTGATTTCTCATTGGTTTCATACCTGCTTTGCAAACATCAATGACCTCATAGCCAATATTCTCCCCTTCCCTATCACAATCAGTCCATATGACGAGGACATCAGCCGCTCTTGCTTCTCTCTCTAACGTTCTCTGTGGTGGAGAAATTATAATCCATGCATTAAACAGCTAAGACCCTGGAATAAATGGTACCAACAAAAGTGTCATGATGCAGCACCCAGCAGTGAATGAGAAAATTTGCCATTTCTCCCTTCACCAGTACACTCTAATGAAAAAGGAATTGGCCCTGATTGATTAAGAATGTTACATAATCACTTTGTTTGTTTGTTTTATTTCCGTATAAAAAAAGACAACATGCATTCAGTAAAACAATAGTGAATAGAATTATGCATTACAAGATAAAATAAACGGATGGATAGCCCATATTCAGTGGTATTATGATGCCGCTGGTCTTCCTTGGGGACCAGAAATGGTACAGTAAAACAACACACAATATACATTACCAAATGACAGAGAAAAATGGCAAAACATAAATTCCCAAGCAAAATATAGTAAGAAATTAAATATTCAGGACAGACAGTATAGAGAAAAGAAACTAGTATTTATAGAAACAGAATTGTGTGAAGTAAACTACAAATAAATGCAAATTCTCAACATGCTCTATACGGTCAAGGTCTCAATATAAGGTTCACATTATAGCAAAATATACAAAATACAAAAATCACATATACAAAATTAGTCTTTTGATTAAACTGGCATTTTAAAATTTCCAATAATTATAGTAGAGTAATTCCACACTTTTAACGCCCAACACAGTTCAAACATTACCTACATTGTGGTGGAGTTCATACACAGATTCCAACTATAGAATTTTTACACAAACAATGTGCAAGTTGAAGCAGAACCCTCCACTACAGTAAATAGTCAAATGTATCCATAGTCAAATGTATCTATAGTCAGATGTATCCATAGTCAAATGTATCCATAGTCAAATGTATCTATAGTCAAATGTATCCATAGTCAAATGTATCCATAGTCAAATGTATCTAGTCAAATGATCCATAGTCAAATGTATCCATAGTAAAATGTATATATAGTCAAATGTATCTATAGTCAATTGTATCTATAGTCAAATGTATCTATAGTCAAATGGATCTATAGTCAAATGTATCCATAGTCAATTAATCCCATATATTAAGCTTTTTTAATATGTCGTATGTGATATTCCTTTACCTTAATATCTTTGTAGTTCTCTGGGCATCCTTTCTGCACAGGAGCATCAAAGAGGGCCACAGGATTGCATGAATGCCTTTGGAAGATATACAAAAGAAAAATTCATTACTTTTATTATTGTATTATAACAATTGAATATATATCATACAACGTTTACATCCAATTAGAGCAGCAAAAGTGACAGTTTAATTACATTCCAACTCAAAACAATCTGTCAATGACACAGAAAAGCATGACTACCGGTATGGTATATTGACACTTATTCCATTGAATACACTTTTATTTAATGGAATAAACCCCTTCTTTGTCTGATGTCTCTTATTTTATCAACATGTATGTGCCTTTCATTACTGTGGAAATCTGTGTTATTATTTCTTTGCAGTATAATCTATTCCTATGAATACGGGGTTTATGATAACATCACAAATGTACATGTCTTGACAATGTATAGGAGAAGATAACTATTCCAATATCTGATACATTCTTTATTTTCACCTTCAAATTCAAAATGAAATTCAAAAAAAATAATAGAAATCTTTGCCTTAAGAACAAGTAAACTAAATTCAACCCATTGACTACTGAATTTGTTTCATTCCTATAGGGTTCAATACAGTCCCGATGAGCCACCCAGTTCCTGTAGGCAATGGGTTAGATCCAAAATGCATGATTAGCTCAAAGGTGGTATGTATTCAGACAATATGAAGTCAACAATAGAGGATCAAAGATTGATTTCTTTGCAGTTTATAGTACCCCAAAGTCTTACCATTTCTGATAGGCCAAAGCAAATTCATAGTTCAAGAGATGCCCGGAGACTGACGTCATGGTCATATCACATTGCTGATTCAACATGCTGTAGTCAAACTCATAAATCTTATTGAACTTTGAGAAGCCTTCTCTCTGGAACAGAAACAAAAATGATTGAAATCATAAATGTTAAGAATCAACGATACATGAAAAGTAAAGTACACTTTTACATCACTATAGTGTTAATAGAGTTAGGGCTATTTGACAGAAACGACACATACCAACATACATCCAATCATTTTCTTGGGAAAAGAGAAAAAAAATGATTAAAAAAAAAAAAAATTCTTCACTTCATTAATAGCCTTTACCATTTTTTGATTTAGATGAATGGACATTCATGCTTTCTATAAGACAAATAACAAAGTACAATAAAATATTTATTGAGCCAAATCACAACTTATGAAATGCCCTTGACCGGTTAAAACTGTATTAACTGTTCCTGCAATCTCAGTTGAATCAAAGCATTCGATAAAAGCTTTAAACATTTATTCTGTCAACTTACCCTCCTGTATCTACCGTGAGACATGACATCTGCTATTGACTTGGCAGCATCATTCTTCTCTGCTACATTCAGAACCTTGGTTGCATGTCCTCGTGCCATGTTGATGTAGGTGCACAAAGAGATCCTCAAGCAAGACTTCCAAATCAACATTGGGTGTGTTATAAACTCCTTGTGTGTCCAGTTATAGCCCACAATGATTTGCCAACCGCTTCTCAGCTCAACTGTTCATTACTGGCGTTAAAATTCTCCATAAGGTATTTTATACCTTTCTAGTGCAGCAAACGTGAGGACATAGATTAATTTAAATAGCTTCATTCGTTTCCATAAGTTTTAACACACTGTGCTGGTTGCTGATCCATAGAAATTGTTGATGAAAGGATTTGACCTTGGGAAAATGTGACATGCCCATTATAGAACCAGCCACTCCGTACAACCATGTCCGATAGCCTTAGAAATGCTGTAGCAAAAATTGAGGGAGATAAACATGTAGACATGAATGCAATGTAGCATGATAGTGGTTTAAAGCCTATCTGAACTAGTTTGGCCAGGAGGGATTAGACCTCCTTGCGTGGTCACTGACAGGTGGTTATCTCATCAAATCAGCTCTTAATCAACATAAGAAAAAGGGGACCATATGGCCCAACGATTAGGCAGTTCTCAACAGGCGATAGGTGCAATAGATGCCATATGACTGTCTTTCTGCTTACATGATACATGTAGATACCATGTGATTGTTTTTGAGAGAAGGTTCAATAATTTGGGTATGGGAAGGAAGTTTTGATTATTTGGTTTAGGAAAGACCAAAAAAAGCTCTTCCCTAAATCCTTGGTGAGCCTCCTAATAAAAGAGAATGAGAAGAAATTGGATGTTTTACAATCCAGAAATTTCTTGTCCATGTTGGAACATTTCTAAGCAATAGTTAGTGGTCTTAGTGGGTTGATTGTAAAACCTCTCATTTTTCTGCAAAGTACACTAGACTAGGTCTAGGTCTATGGCTTACTTTTTTAAAAATTTGGTTCAAAGTGACACTTTCTGGGTTTCTGTGTGTAAAATTCCTACATGATGAAATTTTGAGATTACAAAGTCAAAACAAAAACAAAATAGAACCTTTAGCCTAGTCTCTACGTCACTACATGGACCTGTCCCCTAACCCAGGGCTCACCTCACCTCCCTTCAAGGGTCCATGACATTGAAATTCAAGTGCATTCCTGTTGGTGTGTAGTCCTGCATACATCTCATATTTTGATATGTAAACTTCTTAATTTGTTTCATTTTTGTTGTTGTTGTTGTTTTAAAATCAGAAATAGATCCATTTTAGCAGTGTTTTTCATGAAGAAAAAAAAAAAGAAAAAATTAAAAAAATGATTAGATCTAGAGTCTAGAGTCTAGACTCTAGATCTAGACCCTATTATTATTATTTTTTTAAAGGATGTGGCCACCTAGAATAGATCTAGGCCTAATTTTCAAAATAAATGCATTGGATATGAATCGGATAAAATTGAGTCAAGAAAAGAAGAAAAAATATCTAGATCTAGAATCTATTTAGTATTTTGTGCAAAGTTTTGTGGCCATTCATGGCCACACGTTTGCACATGCAGGAGACCCGATTGTCGGCTTCTTTCTCTTAAGTAGTAAAGAGAGGAGTCGATCCTACCCAAATAAGAGGCTAACGAACGAAAGAGACAGAAATTTTCGGTCTAGGCCTACACAGGCCACAGCCAGATCAGCATGCATGCACACTACCTCAGCTCAGTTACAGAATCTACATGACCTGCTGATGATGCAACAGAGTAAAACTACAAGCACACATAACATAGGTCCATTATACTATCCTGGCTGTGTATTAAAAGCTGTGCTATTATACAATTATAGGCCCATTGATTCTCAACATTTCAAACACCAGTCTCAAACACCAGTCTCAGCCTGTCACTAGACCCTATTATAACTGCATGTCTCCGACTTTGAGACTGTACAAAACCACTCCAGCAAAGCATAGAGAGTCCATGCTAATGCGTATGGACCTCTAGCACTGCATGTATGTGGTATGCACGGGGTGGATTTTTTTTAGTATTAAGATCATAAAATGTAAGACAAATACAACATAACATAGGTTATGTTATATTTGTCTTACATTTTACAGTATTTAAGATTATTAAATTATTTTTATAATAGAAAAAAAGAATTCAAAACTAACTTTTAAAGCCCTTTTTCCTCCTTCTTTTACAGAGACGGCAGCATGATTCCCTCCTCGATTGCGATGACATCAAAACTGCGCACTTTACGCACACCATACACTGACTTCTACATGCGCTACAATTCGCCACAAAGACAGCTCGCCCCTGAACAACTCGACACAATACCCTCCCTGGATATCTCGCCACAATACCCTGGACAACTCGACTGTAGCAAGTTGTGCAGGGTATTGTTGCGAGATGTCCAGGGTATTGTGTCGAGCTGTCTTGGGGCGGGTTGTTTTTGTGGCGAGTTGTCTAGGCCCCGGTGAAAACATACGTGACTCGTGACCCGTGGCTCTTGCGCAACATCTGACGGGTAGTTTTCTTATCTCGCAGACGTTTTCATTTATTGCTTTATCGCAGGTTTAAAGCACCTAGGCCTCTTATTCCGTACAAATTTCTAGATAGACTTTCGAAATGCTTATTATTAGTATCATTATTAATATTATTATTATTAAGACCCCAAAATTGCTAAATTGGGGTCTATTATACTTTGGAATTATGCAGGTGTCAATTGTATGACCCACCCTATGGACCCCGGGGAAGGTGCGTCATGGTTGGGTCATTTACCATCAAGGTGTGACTCAGGGTACCGTCATTTTACTCCTATGGTCAGTCACAATATTGACGGTGGGGTGTGTCGATGTCAGTCACTTTACATAGGTGCGTCACTGAATAAAGTACAGTGTATTCACGGACGCTAGCGAAGCCCGCAAGCTCGCTAGCGCGGGTGTTCTTCGTGAAGTCTAGTCCAACCAAAATGCCGAGTCGGCAAACTTTGCCCCAAATATTTTGGTATTTATATTTGTTAGAATCTCGTAAGCGATTCATTATTTTGGCATTTTACTTTCAAAAAGAAAATGTCAACTTGCTCAAAGCGGGATTTTAATACACACATGTATTGCTGAAAATCAATGTGTTCTTGCAAGCAATTGCCAAATTAAAGAGCGAAATTAATGCGCTGGTCACCGCAACACGAACAATGCAAGTACTATTACTTACGATCATACTTATAATACGATCTTCAAATTGATTTGTAATTGGCACTTAAATTTGTACTACTAACTTTCAGCTCAGCACTCGACAAGCTACAGACAATTTTTTCGCATAGGAAAGCAAATATATCGCAGATCGCCATGCGGTTGGTTTTCTGTGGGTTCAATACGTAGTGATCGGACTGAGGTAAGCGGCGTTTTAAATGCGCTTTTACGTTCGCAGCATCTTACGTGCCTTGAAATGTGTATGTAAAAGCCAGACATTGCGCAGTGCAGCAAAACAAACTCATCCATGTGATGAGTGTGAGATTCAAGTGACGTACCGCTGTGCATCACCATCGCGCGCATTAAAAAGACTTGAAGAAATATGAAACAAATCTGACCGTACGTATTCTGTATTTTACTTTGATTTTGATAATAGATCTAAAGCGTATTAATGATAGATTTCAGAAAAGGGAATATTATATAAAAACAAGGGCATTTTATGGCAAAGCCCTGCACCACCATCCCAGTAGATCTATTGTAGATGTCTACTAGAAAACAGAAAACATTGTGCCGTGCACGGTGCAGGTGGGGGAACGGTATTGCAACAACAAACGAGTGCTCGTGCCTGGAAATGAGATTAGACCCCGATCGCAAATCAGGAAAAACATGTTCTGTATCATTTCGACCATGTCGAATGTGCGTCAAAATGACAGTCAAAATCAACAACTGGTGCGTCATAATTTTGACCGAGGTACCGTCATTGGTAGCCTGAAGTTCGTCATAGTTTTGCCGCATATGTACGTCATGGTATAGTAAAATCCGACGCACATTAGACAAGTGACGCACCATCCCCGGGGTTCATGGGGTGGGTCATACAATTGACAGGTGCATTATATAGTAATGCTCCGCCACCTCTGTCGGCTAATAGTTGGGCTGAAATGTATACCAAACTCTAAAAACGCTCGTACGCAATAGCCTACCGATCGCGTCCATATCAACATGCATATATTCGGACGTAAGCGGTCGCGAACGGTCTTTAAAAACAAAGGTCATAAAATCCGAAAATGGCGCACGTTAGCTGAATTGCGGATGGGCTATAAGCAAACAAGTAGGCCAGATGTCTAGAAACCAATGAAATTTACACTAACGAAACTTGTAAGTTCCATTCTTTATTTATTTGTGATGGGTTAGTATAGACTATCCCATTTAATTAATTAGTAGGACATTTGAAAGTGTCATACCGCAGGCTTTCAAATGTGTCGCGTTAATGTGCTGGTGCCAGTGTTGCCTGTTTTACTACACAGTCAGGATAGTGATGCTCCTATGTGTGTACAAAACTAGACCTCGAGTCTAGGCTCTAGATGTCTACTCAACCGTACGGATTTCACTCAAAATTGGTCTTTATTGACGATTGATGACACGTAAAATGGCAGCAAAATACAATTTTTTCAACTTTCCAATGTTAGAAAGAATAATTTAAAATCTCAAATTGTGAGTCCACTGTCAAACTTGCCGATCAGCCCAATCGGCATGATTGTGTCCATCTGTGTGTTATGAGCGTAGGCCTATTGACTATTCATTTCATGTATTTAAATGCTGCCTACTATTATTAACACGTAGTGCGGTGCTAAAGGTCAATACGCATTAGCGTTGACCCTATCTATGCTTTGCTGGAGTGAGTAAAAGTTGATCCACTCACTCACTGATCCAACTGAAAGACATTAAAGTTTCATATAGATCTAGTCACAGACTAACTACACCCGATAAATTTCATCCGTAATGTTGACATTCATCAAATAATAACCAAAATCATTCAAACTCACTTTTAGTATATTTCTAGCTATTTCTGCGCGAAGCCGAAACCACAGCTGCAGACGTCATTTGATTTGATTGGGCCGCCATGATGTACATGCAAGCTCACTCAAGCCACATTATTTCTAATTCAATATTCTAAAGAATGGATCTTAATTTGTTGAAAATATTGTTAACAGCCTATTTTAAGTTAAATAATGTTGCATTATTTTACAATATAATTTATTTGTCTCTTTTCTTCATAACGTTTATCAATCATTATGAAATCATTACGAAATATGCAATGATCATTACTTGGAAGTCCAAATACCAATTCATACACAATGGTTCGGCCAATTTGCAGTCTTGTCTTATTGCAATGATCAAGCTGAAGAATGAGAAATAGAGGAATGAATCACACTATATATTTTATAACCAAGTCAAATAACTCCTTTGAGTCGTTCTTAATTGTCCTTCACCGTTGATGATCAAGGAATATTCTAGAAGATTTTATTGTCACTATCAAAAATTAAATCAAATTGGAGGGAGGCTTGGGTTTTTTATACATTTATTTTCTACATTTGCTTCGGGGAAATTTTATTTTGAGGGGCTTGAGCTTGAGGTTAATTAAGGGGTTCTTTAAGGAGTAGATAACTTTGTGAGGGCATGCGAATTGAGATGTGTCTTCAAATATATATATTTTGTTTTAAATCCAAGGAATGATGAATAAAAAAAATTAAAAAATAACCGCTGGAGTGGATATCTTACATACCCCATAGAAAATTTCAAAATTAGAACGACTAATGCAGATCGACGTACTCCAATATGATGCATGCTGGATAGCACTGGCGTACCTATGGGGGGGGGGCAGGGGGGCAGAGTGCCCCCCCTGACGGGCTCCAGGGGAAAAAAGAAAAAGGGGGGGAAAAGGGGAAAGAAAAGGGAAAAAAGGAAAGGAAAGGAAAGAAAAAGAAAAAAGGAAAGGGAAGACAAAAGGAAAGAAAGAGAAAAAAGGAAAAGGAAAGAAAAAAATGAAGAGGAAGAGAAAAGGAAGAAAAAGGGAAAAGAAAAGAAAAGGAAAAAAATGGAGAAATTCAAAAAAAAAGACCATGGCCGTACGCACCGGGGGAAGGGGGGCAGTTGACCCCAGATATTTTGAAAACGTACAGTTTTTTTTCCTGAAAATGTAGTGTAGGCCTATACCAAATCCTTCAATTCTACTTTGAAAATGCAAAAGTACCCTCGTGACCAGTTCGGTCGCTCGAGCTCCCTTCACTCCTTTCGCTTTTGAGTTTCTTCGAAAACTTTTAACGCATCTTTCCCCCTCCCCCACCAGGAAAATATTCCGCATACGGCCCTGAAAAATTAAGACAAATGAAAATAGGAAAATATAAGTGATATAACAAATTCGAAACTCTTCGCTGGCGCGAACTGCTTGCTAGCCTATTTTGCATTAAATGTTTTCACTTGCTCGTCCCCCTGAAAAGAGAAAAGGATTAGCATTGCCTAGAATACAATTGTGCCTGCCCCGACCTGCAACCATGGCAACAATAACACACAATGTACCAAATGTTACTAAAAGAGACTAATTCATTTTTCTCGCTCGCTACGCTCGCTCGCGAAAAAAGAATGAATAGACAATTGCTTTGGAAACAATTATTGTGCCCACCCTTGACCTGCAACAATAATCATTAAAAATGGAAGAGTTTTTTCGCCCTCTCGCCAAAAAAGGAATTGAATCGCGTTAAACGCAAATGCGTCCATCCTGACCTGCACCAATAAAAACAAGTTTATTTATTAATTTCTATTAAAAGAGAATTTTTTTTTTTTGCTTGCTCGCTATGCTCGCTCGCCAAAATGGAATTGACATCGCTAACGTGCCCGCCCCAACCTGCAACAACCAGTTAATAATTATGTACCAAACGTTATTCAAAGAAGTTTTGGTGTGCTCGTGCTCGCCAAAACGGAATTAACATAGTCTTAGACATGATTGTGTAAGCCCTGACCTGCAACAACAAAACCTGAAATTTATAATGATATAATAATAGCTCTATACAGAGCGAATTTATTTTCCATTTCTTTTTCACATAATATAAACAATAACAAAACAATAATAAACGTAATGGTATAACATAAATAAGCATTGAAATATCGTTGACATTGTTTTTTAGTCATTGTAATGCAAAATGATTTAATTACAAGAAATGAAAAAAACGAACCTACTTGAAAGCAAAGCTTGTTAGATGTTGCTTCGCACAATAATAATTATATAACCAGCGCAGCTGAATATATTTTGTATAAAAGCTGCGCTATATAAATTTATTATTATTATTATTATTATTTATAACTTAATTTTGAAGAAAAATTACGGAATAAAAAAAAACATGACAGACAATAGAAAAAACAAAAATTAACGAGACAAAAACAAATCAGAAACATTAGCAGACTGACAAGATGATGATAAATGAAGAATATATACAAGAATGAGAGAGAGTAAAAACAGAAAAGGGGGAAGACATGCAGGAAGATAAAAAGAAGACAGAGAGAGGGGGTTGAGGGAGACAAAGAAAGAAAGAGACAGAGAGGGAGAGGGGAACTACTTATTCTGATTCGTTTGCAACAAAAAGTGCTTGAGGGCATTTTTTAAACCACTTAATGAGGGCTTTTCTTGTAATGTGCCAGGAAGGGCATTCCAATATTTTGGGCCAGTGAAAGTGAAAATCCTGCTGGAAAATTGCGTTCTTGGCTTTGGTAGGTGATAACATTTTGCTATTCTCGTGGGGTAACTATGAAATTCAGTATTTTTGTTAAACATATTTGAGAGAACTTGTGGCAATTCATTTTGTTCTAGTGTATACATAAATATACCCAAGTTATAGGAAAATAAGTCATGAATCTTCAAAACCTTATTTGCGTGAAAGAGTTCATTAGTATGAGCGCGAAAATTGGTGTGACAAATGATTCGCATTGCTTTCTTTTGCAATAGTAAAATTCTATTTAGTTGAGTATTTCCGCAGGTGCCCCACCAATTATGAACCAATTATCATTACAAAAATTTTGCTCGCTCGCTCGCCAAAATAGAAATAACATCGCTTTTAATAATCACGTCCCTGACATGGAACAATGAAGCCAAGTAATTTTTTTTCGCTAGCTCGTGGAATATGTGCCCACCACTGACCTGCTACAATATCATTAAAAAATGATTCGCATTGCTTTCTTTTGCAATAGTAAAATTATATTTAGTTGAGTATTTCCACAGGTGCCCCACCAATTATGAACCAATTATCATTACAAAAATTTTGCTCGCTCGCTGCGCTCGCTCGCCAAAATAGAAATAACATCGCTTTTAATAATCACGTCCCTGACATGGAACAATGAACCCAAGTAATTTTTTTTCGCTAGCTCATGGAATTATGTGCCAACCACTGACCTGCTACAATATTAAAAAGAAAAATGTAGGGGGTTGCCTGCCCGCCAAAATGGGATTGACATTGCCTTTAACACGATTGTGCCCGCCCCCGACCTGCAACAATGAAACAAATTTTATATAGCAATTCATTGAGAGAAAGATGTATTTTCGCTCGCTAGCTAAAATGGGTATAAAATCACCCTAAACACAATATTGTTCCCGCGCCCTGCATAGGACAATTGAACCAAGTTTAAGTGGCAATTATTAAAAAAAGAAGTGATTATTTTCTTGCTCGCTACGCTCGTTTGCAAAAAATGAAATTATCGTCGCTAACAAGTGAATGTTCCCACCCCCGACTTGCAACAATACCAGTTAATATACCAAACGTTACTGAAAGATTTTTTTTTGTGCTCGCTCGCTCGCCAGAAGTGAAAATTAGCATCGCCTTTTTTGTTTGTTTCGGTTGCTTGCCCCCCCCCCCCTGACGGAGTACCCCAGGTACGCCACTGCTGGATAGGATGGTTCAAATTATGTTTGAGACACCCCCCCCCCACCCCAGTTTTTAATGATAGGCCTATAATCAGGGGCGGCCGTACGAATTCTAAAGTGGGGGGGGGGGGGGGCAAGAAAAAAGGGCACCTACAAAAGGAAATCTCAAAGCGAAAATATACAATTTTTTTTATAGACATTGGTATATACCCCTACATTGTGATTACATTATCAGGGATGATTTCAATATTTGTTTCACTTTATACACCATACAAGATATTACTTTGCAGCTGGGTGTGATGGTTTGAACATTTATTTGCGAGCGAGCGAGGAAAAAGTTTAAGATTATTTTAGGTGGCAGTACGAAAAATTACAACTTATAGAGGAAAAAACCCAATCCTGGTGGGGTTATAAGCAAAGAAAAGGCCTTTGATAAGTAACATAAGTATATCATCTATAAATGCGTGCGAGCGTAGCGAGCGAGCTTTGGGGGAATTGCTCTTAGTCGCATGAAATTAGGGGCGCATTTAATGATGAGAGGAAAAGGGGACACTTATCAAAAAAGAAAATGGGCATTTCTTACAACTTCAAAAAGAGGCACTCACCAGGGATGAAAAAGTCAGTCATGAGAATAGAAATGGTCATTTGTCGACGAAAAGGGGCCCCCCATCAGATTTTGATAGGGGCGTTTATAAGAGGTAAAAAGGGCTTTTATGAAAAGGTATAGGTCCCTTATTAGAAAGGAAAAGGGGCACGTATCATTGTTAAAAGGGAAATTATCAGATATGAAAAGTGGCACTTATGTGAATGAAAAATGTGCATTTGTTGAAAGAAAATGGGCACCGATCAGATTTTAAAGGGGCATATATCGGTGGCGAAGCGGGCCCTAATCTGAAGTGAAAAGGAGTAACTTCTCGTGCCTAAAAAGGGTAATTTAGCCAGGGAGGTGAGACTTACCGGAGATGAAAAGGGGAAGGGACTCTTTTTGTAATGGGGGCACTTTTCATAAGGAAACGGGGCACTTATTAGAAAGGTAAAGGGCACATGTGAAAATATATGGTGTGCTTATCCGAGTTAAAATGGGGGTAGTCATTAAAGGGGAAGGGGCACTTCTTACAAAGGAAAAGAGGCACTTGTCAAAGTAAAAGAGGCACCTCTCAGATTTGAAAAGGGCACTTATCAAAGGTT